AGAGAGAGATATTCGTCGCTCGGCTCCACCGAGCTGAGCATGGGAGGCGCTAGGGCCTGGAGATAACGAGTAGCATAGAATTACAGTATTAGTAGCGGCTTTTTACCGCTTGGCTGATAGAAAAGGTGGACTCCCATAGAGTCCAGTCCCCATCGCGATTTCGATCAACGCAGGATGAAAGGTGGACTCCTGTAGAGTCCATGGTTGCGATGCTTACGCGGTACAACAAGAGGAGGTTGCTTACAGCGAATCCAAGGAATTAAGTTGCAATAAGGGGAAGGACTACCGATGAAGATAATGAGAGGAAACTCAGGCTCTGCATCAAGGGATAGTCATTCCATTGACAACCATAGGGATAGACATATAAGAAAAAGAATGAGTAACATCTCATAAACTCGCATGCTACCCCAATTGTGTGTCAATCTAACGATAAGAGATGTAAAGTTTGTATTTCCAAATAAGTGAGCAGTTATTGATTATTTTCTAGAATAAGCCTGCTAATTGTAAAGCTGTAAAGCTGAATTGTAAGCTGTATCCCGTCGCAAGTATTGTATTGACGGGATACAGTCAACGCATGTACATGCACATGAAAGTCGCCTTGCGTTCTTCATATTTTTCGCATGAATGAGGATCGGGGCGAAGCAGAGAAAGGGATGAGCGCGCAGAGCGCGCGAATACTAGGTGTTGGTAATAAAAGATTTATGGAAACGGAGACGAGCCAGGAGGCATATCAATTATTTTTTATGTATGTACAGTACCGGTACCGTACGTGTGATCCGTTGTTGTCCACAAGGACATCCAGGGGGGATAAAATAAATGAAAGTAAACTACTAGCTAGCTAGTAGAGCCAGAAGATCCAAATCTTCAAAGAAAAAAGATCTTTCAAAATACGGATGACGTCATCTGTCACCCCAACTCCCCAACTTCATTGCAGCCTTTTAACTTGCAGCCATCAACCACCACAACCACCACAGGCGGCAATGGTTGTCAACAAACCCCGCACAAACCAATAGAGAATACCCTTAGCAGCAGCGCAGTAGAGGACAAAATCGCTAGCTAGTAGCCAGAGAAGACCAAGAGAGGACCAAGCCAAGGGTTTTGCGAAGAGCTACCAGACCAGACAATCCCAATCTTTCTTCCAACTATTGAAGCTGACAACAACAATGATGTTCTCAAGAATCACAGAATCTTTTCTGCTACTGCTTTTCTTGCTATTGTGGGATAGCGCTCTGGCTGCCCCGTCTCCTGTCGTCTTGGTACCTGGAGATGGCGCATCTGTCTTGGAAGCGAGATTCGAAAAGGAGACTGTGCCACACATCATGTGGTGTTCCAAATCCACGCATGGCAAGTGGAAACGCATTTGGATCCCCAACCCTGTGGATCTGCTACCGAAAACAATCGACTGCTGGTCGGACACCATGATGCGTCATTACAACGACACTCATGTGTTTAATACCCGCGGCGTGGAAATCCGACCCAAACCAGGAACGCTCATTCGCAACACGTACCAAAAACTCATTGATGTCTTGACAGTCGTCAAGGTCTTGACCTATGATTTTCGGGTGGCGCCCAATCATGACTTGATGATCGAGTTGAAACAGACGGTGGAAGATCTTTACCACACGAATAATGGTAGCAGCAAAGTCACGGTGATTTCTCATTCCATGGGGGGCCTTCATTGTCACTACTTTTTCACACGAGTTGTTGATCAAGCCTGGAAGGACCAATACATTCATGCGTGGATTCCCATGTCACCGGCATATGGAGGAGTCGTCTACGGTCTCAAGCAAGTCATTAGTGGTGATCATGTTCACATTCCCTGGTTGACCAACAAGGATCTCGTGCAAGAACAACGATCCTGCGAGGGCAGTTTGTGGTTGCTCCCTCGTCCGGAAATCTATGGCAACGAAGTGTTGGTGCAGACGCCACAGCACAATTACACGGCCCACAACTATTCCACACTACTGACTCGTGCCGCTGGCTTTACTGCATTTGATCATCAGTGGAGTTTTGTCAAAGACCTCACCGCGTTTGATGATGATGATCAGAAGTTGGCAGACCCGCGCATCCCCGTGTATCCCATGTACGGGTTCAACAGGACCACAGTCCAGTACTATCGATATGGCGCGTCCCTCGCGGAGGAACCCGAGGTGATTAGCACCCTACAGGGTGATACCATTGTCAATAAGGCCAGCTTGGAAGCAGGCAATCATTGGTCGCAAGCCAAAGAACCGTTGGTGGTTAGTGGCATTGATCACACTGGCATCTTAGCAGAACCAACGGCAATTCACCGAGTACAACGTATTCTGGAACAAGCAGATACAGATACAAAGTCTTCCACCTTGCTTCGACTTGGCTAAGAGGTGACACGACATACCACCAATCCTCCGACTGCGTGCCATCATCCTACAACAACTAACTACTGCAATTTTTCGAACGCGTGGGGCTTCGATGCTACCGGTACCAGCTTTCTATCCCAACATCACACGGATTTCTCCTTTTATGGATTTTGCTATATTATTACTTTTCTAAGCACACAACAAATGGTCTCTGCTCTACACACAAATATCAGGGTCGTTGGAAGCTGGAATCGATCTCTCGTTGGAAGCAGGAAATCAACCTCACATTGGTGAATGGAAGTCTCACACGGATAGCTCGACCCATTGGATGCTGTGCCCTTCGGCCTTGTTCTCTTCTTCTTTGGGTTCGGATGAACCTCGGCTGTTTGAGTCGCCGTCGTCGCTAACCATTTTGGAGGCTTCCGCCACACCCGAAGCATCCGCAGAGCTAACGTTGGCAATGGAAGTGGCTTCGTCCTCGTGCTTGTCATCATTGACAGAAGGCAGCATCGGCTCATTCTCGTCCATATCTTGGCAGCGAATAATGGTGTCCGCTTGGAGCTGGGTCAAGGGAGATTCCTTGCGGAAACGGAGCCACAACTGTGTGATGGGATCAAAGCGTCCGGTGGGGCTCAAAATGGGCGCACACAAGAGGTACACAAAGAGGCCGATCGCTACGACACCCAACAAAATCCCTACAATGTTGGGAAAGGCATCGTGTCCAATCGGGATGGTTCCAAACAAGATGCTGACAAGGGAGACAATGGTTGCATATGGTGCTTGTGTAATGACGTGCCCCAAGAGCTTGCAACCGCATGACATACTTGAGATCACGGTAGTGTCGGAGATGGGAGAAACGTGATCACCTGCTACAGAACCGCTGAGGATGCCTGCCACGGTTGCATAGAAAATGGTGGGATCTCCATTTGCAACTTGGTAGGTTGGGACACACAACAATGGAAAGAGGATTGTCATGGTACCCCAAGAACTTCCCGTGGCGAGGGCCATGAACACGGAAATGATGAAGGAAATTGTTGGCATGGCTTGAGCAGAGATTCCTTGGGTGATCCAGCGGCTAAACAAACGATCGCAACCCACAGCCGTCATTATCGAGCCAGAAGCCCAAGCAAGGGTCAGAACAATCAACGCGGGGAAGATCTTTCCCATTCCACACAAGAAGGCTTCGACACTGTCATAGACCGACATAAGTGACCGGGCCTTGGGTGGATTGGCAATCAAGGAACTTTCCTCGCCTTCAACTTCGTTGATGGAAACATTGTTGGCCAAGTAGTTGTCTTCTTGTGAGGCGGGTGCATCGGAATGAGACAGTCCCATGCAGCTCTTGAAGACCGTCCACGTCGGCAGGACAATTTCTCCGTCGTAGACAAACTGGAAGAGGTAAAAAAGGAGTGTAACACCAGTGGCTCCCATGGTTCCCCAAAGCAAAGCGCTGTAGCTGTCACTTGATTCAATCTTTTCAGTGAAGGACTGGGTGCCTGAACCATCATCACCAGTTCGAATCAGGAGGTAGAAGATAAAGAAGACCAGAAGGGCGATAGGCACGGCCATGTTCCATGCCTTGCGAGGAGTATCTGGGCGAGGTTCGTTGGCTTCTGTGTTTTCGTCTCCGCTGTGCTTGGCGCGGCCGTCGCCGCCGTCGTTTCGCCTGTAGACACGGGCCTTGCGTTCGGCGACAAGCATGGGGCCAAAGTCGCGTTGGCTGTAGATGAGGAAAGGGATGAGCACAACCATGAAGATTGGGTAGTATCTGTAAACGTTGTCATAATCAAGACGTCTTGTTGAGGAACGCTGAATGTTACAAGGAATTGGATTCGTCTTGCCTGTTGTCCACGTACCGGTATTTGATTGACTGCAAGAAGACTGCAATGGCGGAGGTGTCAATCGTGAGGTTTTCGGCTCCATATATAGCCTCGAGTCTGCTGATCTCAGTCTGGATGAGTGACACTTCAAAGCCTACCCAGGAAGAAATTGGTGTCAACGAAGCGAGGGGTGCCGCAGTTGCATCCACAATGAATGCAATCTTTTCTCGTGAAATGAAAAGTAGATCAGTCAATGGCTTCACAGATGAGCCGGTCAAGAGAAGGTTGGTGTAGTCATCAAAGAACACACAGCAGCAGATGGCAAATGTGGCGACCTGTCCAGCACGAGGACTCTTCGCATACTGTGCAATGGCTTGAGTGAACCCAATCATTCCACCACTCTTTTGTAGCATTCCCACCTATGATCACGAAAGTAGGCGGAGAGATCAAGTGAGATCCGAGTCGAGTCCAGTTGATTTTTTAAATAATACCATACTCTATAGCCTGCCTCCACCAACTTACCATTCCACTGAGGAAAAGGGTGAACAAGTAGACATATCCGTGGTCCACTGAGCTCAACGAGTTTAAGATGTAGTCATCAAGCGTAGTCTTGAATCCATCCTTGATGTTTCCAGAAACCATGCATGCACCAACAAACACAGCTGACAGCAAGGAAAGTTCAACCATCTGAGTTCCCATGGCCAAAAAGAGGACGACCAAAAGGGGAACAAGCGACGCGGCAGCTGCATAGGCCTCGAATTCTGCAAATGTGGTCGCTTCACTCTGGTCAACAGTGAGAATTACTTCAATCTCATACCTTCCGGCCTTGTCAACTTTGATCTCGCCGGCCTCGAGGGAGAAGGGAAGCTCTCGGCTTGGCAAGCTCGACAAGTCGAACGAACCTCTTGCCTGAACACTGCCTCCAACCAGTGTCTCCCAATGGAGCAAGTCAGTGCCGTTGGATGCACTTTCATTAGACTCCTCCCACTCCAGCCCTGACACAGTGACAGCCACAAGCTCATTGGTGAATATCGTGCGGATATCTGTGATGTCTGTCTCGACATCTGTCAAAGATATTTCGCCAGCACCCACGATGCTGTAGTCAAAGGCAGTAGCTTGAGAACCAAGAAAGGAAAGCGCCGAAAGCGCAAATGCTGGAAAAGAGTAAGCCATCTTCATCTCTTTGCAGTTTGCTTCAATGCTTCAGATGAGTTGTTGCTACCGTATTGCTTTTTGCTTTGATGTGATCTGTTTTCGATCTTTGTCTTTTGAATTTGTGAGCTCTCCAATCTTTCCATTTGGCCCACCCAACATCTCGCCAGCTAGCTAACACTGGTTGCCTCTGCTAGCTAGCGGGTGGTAGAATGATCCTACCGTAGCCAGACTGGACCGTTCCACCCCGCCGAAAAAGGGTTCCGAAAGATCTTCAAGCTCAACAACTTAGCGTTCGTTCACCGTGGGAGTTGGTTCCGAAAAGGTGAAAAGGTACGTGCGATTCGCATAGGATTTGGAGTGTGGTGACTTTCACTTATCGGAGACACTACATGTAACTCGATGCTGGTAGATCAGATCCTCTTGCATCCCAAACCAGGCCAGTTTCAAGCGGTGCGCGAAAGAGAAAAGAGAACTCTGGTAGCAGGTACCAACCAGCACATCTATCTACCCGGGTATCGAAAATGCTAGCTAGCTCAAATTAATGCATTTGCCAGGGCAACGCTGGTTTCACTGAAACGCACAGTCGTAGTTTAAGATCTAGGATTCGGTCTCCCCCGTTCCGCAGCAGAAGCACCCCCAGCTACTTAGGAAGCAAAATGATTTGTGGTCCAGCCGGAATTCATTGATCTGATCCACCACAAATGATGACAGCTTCGGAGAAGCCAAGATTGGTACCTTTGACTTCTGCGGACCGAAGAGATGGAGGAAGACAGCATCCAGAACTGGTCCTCTATGTTGTACCGGTACACTGTAACAGACGAGTTAGCTTGCTCCGTCCATTGCCTGCCTCCCAAGAGTCGGAGGGCATCAGCAGGCTGGAAGCAAACCAAGCCAAGACAAGTATATATGCAGCATTTAAAATATCAACATTACAGCTCCCCACATGAAATGCCGCTGACCACATTAAAACCAAACCCAAAAGCCGGCTGCATACTACTACTAGTGCTGTCAACCTTGGCCTCCATTTGGAACTCGTTTGCGGCTGTAGCCATTTGGATTTACCGACACTGGTCTTGTGACGGCAAAGCCGTTTCGTTGCGTTGGATTGATATTAATGGCCGAGTCGGTTTCCGATGGAGTGTTCTTGTTGTTAGCCGTCGTCGACGCAAAAACTGGCGGTGGAGTCTCGCCACAGGTACAACCACAGTTGCAAGCAACTTCGCCACAATCCACAGAAAGCTCGAGTTGGCCGGATACTATGCTGGTACACAACGTGGTGGACACGATCCCGATGAGATTGTTCTTTTCGAGCTGCAGCAGCCGAAGACCCGGAAAGTTGTCTAGTGCGCTGGGTACGTCACCAGTGAGCTGGTTGGAACCGAGTTCAAGTTCGAGCAGAGAACTTAGGTTGCCCAATGCCGGAGGAATCTGAAAGCTCAACTGGTTGCCTTGGAGACTGAGCCACTTGAGTGCTCTCAGTTCACCGAGTTCGGAAGGAATTTGACCAACCAATTTGTTCGAGTAAAGCCATAGTCCTTCCAGGGCATACAGCTTACCGAATTCTGTTGGAATCAAGCCAGTCAGTTCTGATATAGGGAGTAGAGGCAAGAAGTTGAGGGCACAGTCAACCAAGACAAGCAGTAAGTTTGTTTTGCGAACATATGATTTCTTACGGTTGGCAGAGAGAGTAATTCGTTTCAAGGACGTCATGGCACCGAGCTGTACAGGTATCTTTCCACCTAGTTTGTTATGAAACAGATGCAACTCTTGCAGCTTTGTCAAATTGCCAAACTCTGTTGGAATGGTGTGTACCAACAAGTTGTCCTCGAGACTCAACCACACAAGCTCCTTCAAACCACCGAGGCTGGTCGGTATGGAACCTGAGAGACCGTTCTTGTGCAACCACAGCCCTTGTAGCGCAGGCAATTGGCCAAATTGAGCTGGAATGGTTCCATTGATGTTGTTGCTTGACATCGAAATCTTCTTCAAGCTCCTAAGGAGGCCAACTTGAGTGGGGATTGTACCTCGAAGCTCGTTGTCATAAAAGCGGGCTTCCTGCAGCCTCGTGAGGTTTCCAAGGTGCGTTGGCAGTGTTCCGGTGAAGGAGTTTCGATGGAGATTCAAATTGACCAGCGATGTCATGCCTCCGATGGTATCTGGGATAGGGCCAACGAGCCTGTTTTGATCGACTCGAAGAGTTTGCATCAAGGACAATTTTCCAATCTCTGAGGGTAGTGTGCCAAACAGGTCGTTGGCATAAAGCGTCAAGTCCACGAGCTTGTCCAACTGGCCAAGCTCGGAGGGGATACCTCCACTGAGAATGTTGTGATGTAGTTCCAGTAGCTCCAAGTCCTTCAAATCTCCCAAATGTGTACTGATGTTGCCATGCAGAAGGTTTGTGTGCAAGATTAGCTCTCGCATTCCAATCAAGTGGCCAATCTCAGTTGGAATGATCCCCGTGAACGCATTCTCTTTCAGATTCAGAGCGTCCAACTTGGTCAGTCTCCCTATGGTTTCTGGAATGGTTCCATTGAATGCTGCATCATCAAAAACAAAGACGAAAAGTTGTGATGTGAGATGAAGCATGGCAATCAAGGTAGTATGCAGCGTGTAACTGCGTCAGCACTTACCATTCTCAAACAGACTGAGATCAAGCAATGCAGTCAAACTGCCAATGGACGGAGGGATGGATCCTGAGAAAGAATTTTGGTTGAGCCAGAGCATTTCGAGGCTTGTTGCCTGTCCTAGTTCTGAAGGGATTGTTTCGTTGAAGCCATTCCCAGCAAGGACAAGGATTTTCAGATCTCGAAGATTGCCGAACTGAGACGGCAATGGTCCTTCGAGGTTGTTGTAGTTCAGCCAGATCTCTTGTAGACCAGTGGGATTGCCAAGTTGAGTGGGCAAGCCACCTGTCAACTCATTGGCAACCATATCAAGCTTCAAGAGGTGTGTCATCAGGCCGATCTCTGAAGGCAACTGTCCAGTCAAGCGATTGTAGTTCATGGAAAGAGTCGTGAGCCTAGTGAGTCGGCCGATTTGAGTAGGCAGCTCCTGACTCAGTTGATTCTCATCCAACAACAAGTAGGCCAGGCGACTCATGAGACCAATGTTTGTTGGGATTGATCCAGTTAGCATGTTTGCCTGCAACTTGAGCGTTTCCAAAGCAGTCAAAGTACCCAACTGGGTTGGAATTGTCTTGCCCAGTTGATTGTTACTCAGGTCCAACAGATCCAACTGGGTGAGCAGGCCAAAGTGCATTGGGATTGGCCCAGCAAGACGGTTGTTTTGAAGCTTCATGACCTTCAAATTGTTCAAGTACACAGCCAGCTCAGATGGAATAGTACCTCCAAGCCCGTTGGAGTGAAGCGAGAGCTGAATCAATGCCTTTAGCTGGCTTAGCTGCACCGGGATGGTTCCAACCAACTGGTTGTTGCTCAAGCAAAGCTCCTCAACCTTCTGCATAAAACCCAACTCAGTGGGGATCGGGCCACTCAACTGAAGCGCAGCAAGAAAAGAAGGAAGAGTGAGCACGTCATGTTGTGGAAACCAGCAAGAACCCAAGCTCTTGTATGTGGTCTTACCAAATTGGATCCAATCTTCAGAACATTAAGGTTGGTCAATCGGCCCAAGTGAGCGGGAATCGTATTGTTCAATTGATTGTTTTCAATGATGAGTTGCTCTAAGCCAGTTAGGGAACCGAACTCAGTAGGCACCGGGCCTCTCAACTCGTTGTTGGCCAAGGAGAGCTTTTGAAGGCTGCCCAGCTGTCCAAGTTCAGTGGGGATAGTATGCGTGAGATTGTTAAAGGAGAAATCCAGAACAAGCAAGTTATCAGGGCTGAGTGCACCCAACGACGTCGGAATGCGGCCTGTGATTTGGTTTTCAGCCAGATCAAGCCGCTTCAGGTTCACAAGGTTGCCCAAGGTGTTAGGAAGGGTTCCATGAAGTCTGTTTGAACGAAAATCCAACTGCTGCAGGTCTTCCAACAGTGCCAATTCAGGGGGGAGAGTTCCGTGTAGCTCGTTGTGGCCCAACGTGAGTGACCAGTAACGATCGTCTTGGTCGCAGAGCATGCTGTTTTCCCAACGAGCGTTCGAATACCAGTGACACTCCGACATGCCATAGACTAGCCAAGAATTGGAAAGAGTCCACGATGGTCCATTGGTCGCATAGAACAGAGTCACCAAGGCAAATCGCTGCAAACGTCGCCATTCGGAATATGTGTCCAAATTAGGGTCATTGATCACCCATCGGTACGCTTGAGCTTGTGGCGAGTCTCCGTTTGCTTCAATTGCCTCTATTGTGTATTCAGGGAGTGGCAACTCGTACTCAGCAGGTGCCGGAGTGGCCACTCCGCCCGACAGCGAATCTTCACCTTCTTCATACCCCAAAAGTTGCTCGCCTGCCTCAGGTTGGGGGATACCGATGGGCTCTTCGGTGGCACCGTCAACGGTGGCTGGGAGTGGACCTGCCGTGTTTGGACTGTGGGTCCAAAACTCCAATGGTGTGAACGTGGGTGCCGCAGTGCCCACTCGTACCCATTGCGTTCCTGACTCTTCCTTGTTATTTTTGGTAGTGTGAGGGCCCAGCACCTTGATTGCCACCGTGACGCCAACAATGAAACTGGCGAACAAAAATGCCGCAAGGACGACCCGATCCCATTTTCGGAGACGGCGCATCTGATTTTGCTCGTCTCCGTCGGATGATTTCGTGGAGATAGTGGCCTCGTCGACAAACTTTTCTACGGGAGTCTGTGACGATGCTTGGGTGACAGAAGAATCGTGATTGGGTGGAGATGCAGGACGAGACATCGGGACATACTTGCTCCCTTTGTTGTTGCTGCTGGAACCGCCGCTGGCAAACGGACGCGCAATTCGTTCCGAGATGCGAACCTTCTTCTGAGAACGCTTTGCAGTGGTTGACTTGGCATTAGCGGCATCAACTCCACCCAATGGAATGGATACCATCTTGGCCTTGTTGCCGCCACCAGTGGTGTTGTCACGAGGGAGGGTGTTGGTGCTGTTGGACTGCTGTGGCGGCGGAAACGAAGGAGAGCTTCGCATCACACGGTCCATGGAAATCCAAGATTGGACATCGCTGAAGGACTCGTCCGACGCTGGAATTCGACGCGAGCCCCCAAACGACAAACAGGAAGATTCTCTCTGGGTCCATGCCGGTGCGTCTTGCGACGGCGAGGCGTACAGTGCGTCCGCGACATCGTCCATGGGATAGCTTTCAAAGGTACCTGAGGGTCCCGATAAAATAGCGGGGGGTTCCGAAACTCGTTGCCGGGTAGGTTTGGAACCACCGCGGGAAGCAAACTTACTGTGTGCCAATGGATTAGATGGCGGATCCTTAGGAATACGAGACCGGGTTGAACTTGTAGTTGAGGCAGAAGGCGACTTGGGAGTCGAAGGTGCTTCCGAGTATGATGCGGCGTTCAAGTTGTTGTTGGCCGATGCCGAGGCGGAAGACGAATTGAAAACCCACATGGGCGAAATCTTCTTGAAGGTCTTGATTGATGAGATGGTCGACAGTTCGTCGTCAGACTTTGAACCCGACGATGCGACTGGTGATTGGGCAGGTGTCTCGTCAGCGAGACTAGATTCTTCAAATATAGTTTTGTAACTGCGAGCGGCGTCGCTACTGTTGACGGGGAAGATACCAAAGTTTTCCTCGTAGTTGGCCTCTACGTCATCGGTGTCCACTCTGCTAAGTCGACTAGATGGCAATCCAGCTCCTGGCATCATAGACGGGGCACTTTGATACAGACCTTCGGCGTCTTCTCTCTTGACAATGTATCGTTCAGCTCCTTTGGTGTTGTTGCGCTTGGCTTTGACTGCGGGTGCCAACTTGGAGGAGGGCATAGACTCACTGGAATCAACCATGGCCTTGTAAGCAGACAGACAGAATGGAGTATCCTTGTTTGACTGGACCGTAGGAGATCGTACTGAATGCAAGCGAAATCTGTTGCTTTCACCAAGTTTGGGCTCTCGCAAATTTGTTTATCCAACCTTCAACGCAGCGAATTTTTGCCATGAAACGCTTTCGGTGGTGGGTGGAAAATGTGAGCGGAACGGTCAGGGAGAAAAGATATTCTATGCACGTTTGAATGTCAAACAAAAGCAAGATCTTTCTTTCTTTACAGGTACAGGTACCGGTACAGGTACAGGTACAGGTACAGGTACCGGTACGAGTAGAGAACAGGCCTTCATACTTAGGAAACCGAGACGAAGGAGATACCACCTGTTCCGCATCATGATAGAAAAGACTGATTATCCTGGTTCCTTCGCCTTGTCGAGAGGAGTCAATCATCGGAGGACTTCTTCTCCATTGCCCCAACGAGTTTGCAGCACTTCCAGGGATGCCCAAATTGAGAGGCATTTGAGAGAAGGGCCAGGATTGTAGCCCCGAAGTTATTGTCACCACCGCCTTCGTTGACAGCTAGTTTCCATTGGATAACTCGGCTTGCCACCCTTCCATCTCTGTGGGTCAAGTCTCTGGCTGGGGCATGATTATTCGTCCACAGCTGTTCTTTCAATCCAAGCCTCCATAGCTTGCAGCTGCGTGTCTTGGATCTGAAGGTGACAAACTTGTACCTCAACTTTGACAAAATAATGTTTTCTCGGCCAAAGGACTGTCACTCGACTCGACTCGCAGAAGGACCGCATGTGTTGCCGTCCGGACAGACATCCCTCTACTACCGGTACTAGCTAGCTAGTAGAGGCTACCAGTTCTAGCTAGTACCGGTACCGGTGGTACCGCAGCCACTCATAACCAAAATGTTTCTGATCTCACCTTAACCTTGCAAGGGAAACTGCCTTCTAAACATTCTAGGGAAGACGTGCTTGGTACACTAAAGTAGACACTCGTCTTTATGTTAAGTCTCTGTTGATAAAAAGAAGCCTGCACTTCAATAAAAAGACGGCATACAGGGTTGAGGAAAATAACATTTAAATCTTTTACTAGTAATCCCTACCGTATGAGATTCAACTCTTAATGTGACGTGCACCAGCACACTGTACACTTAGACAAACCCGTGCCAATTTTGATGTGCATGCATTTCAAACTAAGTGTAAACTTGTTGGATTGCTTGAGGACTGTATGACGTATCGAAGAGAGACTGTGGTACTACTAGTAAACAAATGCCGGCTGAGTGCAGCACAACCCCTTCAAAGTTCGTATTAGCGAGAAACAACGCCGGAACCAGCAGCCTGTGAAAAGGGATTTGCTCGTTGCTCGTTGCTCAATGAGCTCTTTCCATGTATGATGATGCATCGATCTACCGCAGTTACAACCGAGGAGGATCTCCACGACACCGATGAACGCGACGAGGAAGAAGAAGATGATGAGGAAGAAGAGGACATCTTTGCGAAGCTGTTGGAATCTCCGGAACCCCACAAGGACCATAGAACCATGCAGCTAACTTCCGAAGAACGGCAATGGGCACTGGATTTGAAGAGGACGGTGGAACAAGACCATGCTGAACTACACAACCTTAGTGATATGGAATATGCGGTGTATGCCATCATCTCTCAGGGCAATCGGGCTGATGCTTTGACAAGAATGGGAGCCATTCAGATGTTTCGAGAGGAGTATCAAGTTGACAATTCTATAGAACAGGGTGTGTACATGCTCGGAGAGCTAATGAAGCAACAAGAAGGTCTCTTACTGTGTTTGGATGTTGACAGTGCCACTTTGGAAGGATTGCATGTCATGGATATTGGGGCCCTTAACCCACAGGCAGCGTTAGCGCCCTGCTTTATCAGCGGGGTTGACTACAATTGGCGCATCATGGTCTGCGGCTTCTACTATTACAACCTGGCCTGCCAGCCATGTCTTGGGACCGTCAGAGCAGGGAATCACACCATGGCTGACTTTGTGGGGTGGGGTTGGCATCACATGAATATGGAGATTCAGTATCGGTTCTCCGGTAAGTCTTGCAATACCATTGTTCTTGTCATGCTTAACAGACCAGCCCTCTCTCATTCTGCTCCTCTTTTTTTTCCCTACGAACCTCAGGGGAAATGTTTGCCCACTATCCAATAAAGTTCACCAAAATGTGTTGCTACAATACCAATCAGGCTGCCAATATTGTTTGGTCCCTTGTCAAGAATGTGTATCCAAGTTCTTTGATGAATGTGCTACAATTGGGTTGCCAGATACCCTCGGAATCTTATGAGGAGGCCCCAAAGAGTCTGAGTGAAAGATATCTGCAACCAGATCTTAACCAGGCATGCCTTCGGATGCTAACGAGAGCAAATAGCTTGTTGACCTTGAGGTGCCGAAATGACGAGCTCTTTCGATTGTAATGAGGAAGAGTTCATTGCGCAAAACTAAAATGCATCACAGCGAGCACAACTGCCACAGCACCAGCTGTAGACAGGCAGAGACTTCAGAACCAGCGCCTTTCGAGCTCCACAATAGATGGTTCAGAGTGCCAGCTACTTGGCAGACCGATACTCGCCACCCTCAGGGTTTTTCCGGCTAGGACGCCAGCCCATCCTCGGAAAAGGTTTGTTCATGCCGTTTTGAGTTGCCCTCATACCGGTAGATCACAGATCACACAAGCAAGCTAGACTACCGTCGCAAGCTAGACATTAGGTACATGTATAAATAGAACGCAAGTTGTGGTCTCACAAATAGATCTTGGCCTACAAAAACGCTACTACCGTAACCAGTTTGACGGGAACCACTCCCAGTGCCATCCAACCCAGACAAGCAATGTGCCAGCCATCCAAACTTTGCATCAAGTGGTCAAGTGAGACTGCTTCACGCGATCGCAGGGAACCTCAATATCGTTCACATCAATTCACCGCCATGTACAGAAATGACGCAGATGGTGTTTTCACCATCCAAAACAATATCCACCGAATAGGACAAAAAGCACGGAACCAGCAAAATCTCCTCCCATTTTGAGCCAAGCAGCACTGGCACCATTGGCAAGTGGCTCTTCTTCTTCTTCTTCGTCTGGTTCCACTTCATTCTCGGGAGTGTCAGTTGCTGTAGTGGAATTCATTGGTTCCTTTGTGGTAGTAAAGTATACTTCTGGATTGCTCAAGAGTTCCGAGGATGCCACCAATCTTTGGTAGCACGATGGAAAGATTGTGGATTGCACGCAAGTTGGCTCCACCAGTGCACATGTGGATTCATCCTCTAGATCATCGCACAGCATAGCCTTTCCCATGGAGGGTCTCAAATTGTAGGTGGTGGTTTCGTCCGTGACGCCGCCAAACGATTCACAAGTAGCTCCGTTGGGGTCTGCCAGACAACTCGATGCCTCCCGACAAGTCATGGATTCTGACGTATGGGCCAGAACCCTGGCACCTCCCGCTACCAATCCATCGATTCCAAGCATTTCCTTGCATTCGGCATCTTCGTACAGGTTCAAGTAGGCCGTGTGCTGCAAACCAGCAATGCCCTCCGCGTTGTCATTGCGCACCAAGCTGGCTGAAGAATATGGCGACGAAAAATCAATCCCAAACGGCAGCAATCAAGTGAGGTGAGTGAATCAATCAATCAATCGTCTATCTGGCAATTACTTCATGTTCATTCCATTCCACTACTTACGGTCCTGGGCAATAGCACCACTGGATCTCATTCGGAAATGGCAATTGGGAAAGACAGAAGAACCGTAGCAGTCTGTGAGGAAACGGCAGTCGTCTTGTCCTACATTTTCGTTGGATTGGTCACACTGAAAGACTCTGCCATCCTTGGCCACCTGGTTTCGAATTTCATACTGTTCCACATTTCCAGTGAGTTCATTTTGGCAAAAGGGACCGTCGCCATCGATAATGCAGGTCAGCTCCAAACTACACTGTTGCGTGACATTGTCATGGCCACCAATGATCCATAGGGTTTCGTCATGCACAAAGGTGGAGAGACCCACGGGGCTGGAACAGTCGTCCTTTTCGTAGTAGACAGTATGAAGGAGTAGCGGCTGCAAAATCTCCTCCTCGTCATCCGCCTCCTGCGATTGAACCAGAGTGCTGATGGAGAGAAAGAGAAAGAGGAAGAAAGGGACAACAGGTTGGATCATCTTCATGGCAACAATGACTCTATACTGACTGTACTGGAGAGAAGGAGAGATGATAGGAAATAAAATGAAGACGACAAAAGCAACAAGTAAGTCTAAAATGTGTGGATCGTTGACCCTTTATGACTGAACGTCGTTCTGTGGTCATTGTGAACGAGGCGTCGGACGGTTTTCGTTCAGGCTTTAAAAATGCCACCACTGACTCATAATGCTGATTCTCGATAAGGGCATGTTAAGGGTATGTGAAGCGTTAAAGTGGTGTTTAGGGGATGTTTAAAAGGGGATGTTCTTAAAAGGGGGTGTCTATTTAAAGGGATGTTTGTGTGTGATAAGGGGATGTTGTATGGCGTTTCAATGAAGGCTTAAAGGGATGATTCGAGGAAATAAGGGGATGTTGTTAAGGGGATGTATAGTTAAGGGGATGCTTAAGGGGATGTTGAAGATATAACGGGTTGTTAAGGGGATGTTTAGGGGATGTTTAAGGGGTTGTTGTCAGTCGTGGCAATTTCAAGATTTTTTAAATCCTGAGTGAAAACCGTCGGACGGACCAGCATTGTGGAACACATCATGAGGAAGCGAGGAAGCAGCAGTCACGGCAAGGTTCGAAGATAGTTTGAGATGGGTAGTTGAGGTAAGGTTAGGGTTAAAGTTAACGTTTACTCCTCATTTTTGTATAGAAAATTTGATTTACCGCAATTACCTAGCTTCCAAAGTTGTCTTCCAAGGAGCATAGTATCCGTACCAGCACCTCCAGGTAAATTGGCTTGGAAGTTTAAAATGGGTTGGTAAAATTTCAAAACAAATAATTTTGCCAGAATGATTATGACTTGGAACAGAAAGGATCTCTGGCTTTGGAACACTGGCTTTAACTCCTAGGATTACTGGCTTCTACACAATTGGAAGCCAGTGTTCCTAGGAACAGAAGCCAGTGATCCAAGGGGTTAAAGCCAGCCTTCATTTCTATTCCATGATGACTTATTATATTTATAAGTACAATCAATGTTCCAGTGAGATCAAAGTAGATTACTGGCTTGTTCCCAATTAAAGGGCAGCCTGTGTTCCTGGAACACTAGCTTCAAAGCCCGGAATCCAGGCTTTAAAGCCTGTGTTCTTTGGAACACTGGCTTCTTGATCCTAACAAAGATATAAATACAAAATTTCTTAGCTTTCTGGAAAATATTAACTTTTCACTTGTAAAGCTCCTTTGCCGCGACGTGCAGCACCGTACCTCTAGCTAGCTAGTAGCGGTACACTGTACTAGTAGAGGTACGGTAGCTCTTGAGCTCGCAAACTCCTGCGGCACCATGCCTTGCCAAGCTGTATTGTAGAAGAATGGAATGAATCATCTTCTGTGACTAGTAAAACGATTTGCAGCAGCGTACCTGGTAATGGTGTGTGGCTGTTTGGCACCCAATTTGTTTCCGCCCTGAGCGATGAGCACCGGGCTCAGAGCAGGGAATCGGGAATTCAATCTTTCAGTGCTCAAGTGTCTGCAGATAAAATTTTAATTGTCTTAGTGTATGTAGTTTCTTGCCCTTGAGGAAGTTTTGTTCGTGAGGAAAACTTGGTGGAAAACCGAAAATGTACATGTATCTTTATTAGCCAGAGCAACGAACCGTACTGGTACGTTTTGCCGGCCATGCAAGCCATCAAAGATTCTTGAAATAATTTTTCATCCGTAGGCAAGCAAAAACGGTCTCTTGAGCAGAGCAGGATTGTTTTCCATCAAATGCCATATCTCTTCCTTTTTCTGTGCATCTTGTGGGATCTTGAGATTGCTTTCTCGAATAGCAGCAATACAACGCCTCTGGAGTGAGGTTAGACCACCATCTTCGCCAACAGTGTTCTTTTGAGGATCACAGATATAGTTTCTAACACCAGAAAACTATAAGCAACACTGGGTTGGCGTCTAACAATACCTGGCATGTTCTCCTCACTGGTATAATCCTGAAACGTGACAGCATCCAAAGCATCCTTGTGCTGGCTCAGAAATTCGACGAGAAGCAAAGGCAATTTAAAGCGGGCGCTGGCATACCTAAATGTGGACTTTTCACAACACCTTGAGATGTGCAACCACAAAGGGGGGGGAGAAGACATTCTTCACAATATCAGAATTTACATCAATATACTCAACAATGCTCTTACTCAAAAAATCCGCAACAGCTTCAATAATTGCGTCATTGTGGAATATCATGGCATGTTGAACAATGATGTGGCAGGTGTGCACAGGAGTTCCAAAGTCGATGAATTTCAGAGCATCACATTTCAGTTGGTCAATTTCAAAGTACTCCCCACGATGATACAGAGGTGCAGCTGTGTGTACACTGATATTGAGCTTCTTGCTGTGGTCGTACAAGTAGTCAAGCATGTCAGGAAATGCCTTGGCAGCCATCAGGTGCAGTTCAATACGGCTTGTCGATTGTTGTCCTTCTGGAAATTTGTCACCATTTTGGAAGAGTCCATCAAAATAGTCACTCTTTTGTGTGCCACGGGCAAGGTAACCTTTGTGGACATGATATTGGTCCACCTTTTGGTCACTGCCATCCTTCTCCTCTTCATTGGATACAACTATTTCAATCTTCCAGTCACTGTAGGTCTTGTCTGGATCATCACGCCACTTCAGCTCTGCATTTCCATCCTTGGCTGGAGGGCATTCACCTTTTCATGCTGCTTTGGTTTTTCTGCGATAAATGTCCCCGCTCTGTCGTTTTGCTGCGAGGCGTTGTTGCCGTAGTTGTTCCACGATAGAGGAGCTCATTTTAGCAAAATGAATGAAGATGCGAATTGTTGTACTAGTACATATCTGGCTGGATCTCAATTGCCCTCGTTGAAGCTCCGTAGTCTGTGGATCTCTCGCAAAGTCAAGCTTGGTCCATTAAGCATGTCCCCCCTGATCCTTGATCCTTTCCCCAGTCTAAACCCCCGTATGAGTCTAAACGTCTAAACCCCCTTCAGCTCCCATGACCGCAGATGCTGTAGCGTAGTTCATTGTTTATAAGCCTTTTAGTACCGGTCCGGAACCAAATCTTTTGGATCTTTTGGCGCCTTTCTTTTCTGATTTCTTTCCGAAATTGTTGCCATCCAATCTTTTGGCATTGCTTATGAAGTTAACAATCCGTTCAGTGCACTCCTCCTTTGTGCTTTATTCCTTGATTCGATTCGATTCATTCCTTGATCGAGCTCATGACGACTCCTTGTGGTCGTACATTGCAGCTGTGCCATCCAAGAGGAGTCGTCCTTCTTCTTCTGTTCGTCAGTAGTTGTCTTCTTCCCACCATGAGAGCCTTTTCGGTCCTACGACGACAACGCCATCCTGCCCGTCGCTTCTCGACGGCACCATCCTTGCATAGTTGGCTGACAGCCACGAACTCGGACGACTCATGTTTGGAAGAGGAAATTGCTCGACTGAATGGTGGCACTCCCATCAATGTCAATAGTCCTCTCCAAGTTTCACGGGCCATTTTTGGTGTCGAGGATCAAAGTACCAGAAAGAAAGTACTGCAAGAAATTGCCAGTAATCCCGAATTTTCAAGCCAGACACAGCGTCTGGCAGAATTGGTGTTGAAACAGCGAGACCAAAATAGTCGAGCGGCAAAGGCCAGTCCAAGTACTGCCAAAAGAAGAAACAATAGTAGCAATGGTCAGTTACAGACAGAAAGTACCTTAAGTTGTCCTGCTTTTGAAATGGAAGGACCAATAATGTCTCCGGCGGAACCAACCACAACCACAACAATCCACACTCCACAAGAACAACATCAGGAAAAGATGTCACGGAATGATTGGAACTACCACGCCAAACTGATAGACTCGCTGTTTGCCAAGAACAACAACAATAATGATTGTCCGAGAATCAATGACTATTGGAAGGAACCACTCCAACAAGTCACCCGGCCACCAGCCAAAGCATTGATTGAACAATTGCATGCCGACTGTCCCATGGGATTCGACCCCTTGGCCGTGCCGTTGGATCTTTTATCCAGAACTACTACTACAACCAGCAGTCGCGACACGACGGCGGGCAAAAAGGGATCCTTCTTGCACACATGCCGTACAGCAAAGGAAAACCATCCCGATTGTATCATTGTGACACGATGTGGCGACTTTTACGAAACCTACGGCATTGACGCCGTTCTCATGGTGGAACATTGTGGTCTAAACGCAATGGGAGGCAAAGCCAAAGCCGGTGCGCCCCATCGAGGAATCCAACCCTTGTTGGATTTGTTGACGGCCCAAGGATTCTCTGTCGCCATTTACGAAGAAGCTGCCGACACGCAAACCGCGGCCAATGTGAAAACGCTGGCACGCAAGAAACGGTATCTGTCACAGATTGTTTCGCCGGCATCACCGACTTATCTCTATTCGCACAATGTTGTGTTGGATGAGAGCGGTTGTAGTAGCAAAGTGTCGGCTCGACCGTACATGGGTGTCTTGTCGACAGCCGTGGCGGGATACACACTCGTGGAAGTGAGTTGCGACGAACGATCCGTTCAAGTATCGGAACGATTGACGGCCGAAGCCGTGGCATGTCGTTTGGCGGCCAATCCACCCGCATCGCCCTTGTATTGGATTCCTCCTCCGCTCAACACAGTTGCGACATTATTATCGAAACCACCGTTTTTGCCATCGTCGTCTCGTGGTGTCGTGGCGGCCGTCAAAATCATTCCTCCGGCACTGGTACCCACGGCGGGTCACAATGATCAGGAACGAGCCAAAGAGGCCATTCTGACAGAAGTCATCCAGCGAATCGGTTTTGGAGGACACAATGAGGATGACGACGATGAAAGCCCCACAGCCACAATTTCGCCTGATGACTTTGTCATGATTTCCACCAATGCATCTTTATCCTCGACGGCTACCCAAACGCAACCACTGCATGTCGAAACAGCGGCACAGCTTGGGTTGTTGCACGACCCGGCCATTCCATCGTTGTTGCACAGTGTCCTGCCCGATTCGGCACCGGCGGCCACGCGGAGATTTGTACGGCGCTATCTATTGACACCACCACCAGTTCCCGTCTGCGACGCCATGGGCACACTGGTGAGCTTTCTCAAATCCGATCAAAGCACATCGCTGCCACCCTTGTCGGTGCCGTCGTTGGGCAAGGCATTGTCGTTGATTCGAGCGGGACAAGCCAGTGCGCATGTCTATGGGGAACAGTTGCACGCCATGGCCGCCACGGTGGCGCTTTTGGAATTGGGAGAAAACAATAACCAGGAAGTACAGGAGCAAATGGTAGATCCATTACTGACCATTCTGCAACACGAAACCGGCATGGCGGCCGAATGTCAATCCCTCAAAACGAGATGTTTGGAGGCTATCGAGATAATTGAGGGAGTCGTGAGTCCTGCACATCATGCTTCAAGGAACACAGGTCGCCACAGGCGAGACGACACTATATCCTACTTTGGAGAATGGATCCCGTCAGTGTTTTTTGAGCGCAACGAAGCTTCCTGGCGAGGACGAGTGCAACCACATGTAGTGGCAGAGTCGTACCAAGCAGTTCACTATGCAGGGGAACGATTGGCTGCCGCGGTTGCCAGGGATTTTTATGGTGTAGAATCTCTACAGGACAAAGCAGCACTTGCTCAGCTACCGATTCAACCAATGCACGACGCAAGGAACAATCTACTGTGCATCAAACGGATTCCAAGTGGGGCACATGATCCCAAGCTGTATGTGCCTCCACGAGATCGAAAAGGTACCGCGATGAAAGGGGCATACACGACTGAAGCCGTGCAGAATGCACTTTCTGACTATGTTTCTGCGTGTGATGCGGCCTGCCAGCAAGTTATCCATGCGTTGAGCCAGTTGAGTCAAGACCTCCACGACAAAGGGCATATCCCTGCTGTGGTCCAGGCGGCTCATGCCAACCTGATTGTGTCCACTGCATTTCATCATGCACAAAAGGCTAACACCATGGGATGGAGCCGTGCGCAAGTCTGCGAAGACGGTGATAGCGCTGCTAACATTGAAGGAGTATGGCCGTACTGGATGCACAAGTCTGAGGCCGTGACCAACACCTTTGAAATAAAAGATCTGTTTGTACTTACAGCCCCCAACATGGCTGGCAAGTCTACTATTATGCGCTCCGTGGCTTCAGCCGCCCTGCTGAGTGTTTGTGGCTTTTGCGCTCCAATGCAACCATCCTCTCAGGTGCGGCGATTTGACCAAATCTTTGTTCGGGGGGCTAGCTCCGATGTACCCACAGAAAACAAATCAGCATTTGGTGCAGAGATGGGGGACGTTGCTTGTCTCCTGCGGTGCTGTGGTCCCAAGTCACTGGCGTTTGTGGATGAGCTGGGACGAGGAACATCACCGAAAGACGGTACCCGTCTCGCTGCAGCAGTGTTGGAAGCCATGGCCAAAGCAGGAATCAGCGGCGTCTTTGCTACTCACATGCACGGGATATTTCAGCTTCCCTTGGAATGGGAAAGGATCGCAAAAAAGCAAATGGCAATCCATGATGAAGAATACGTTGATGATGAAAACGAAACGAGACACCACCTCAAGTGGACCTACAGGTTGATTGATGGGGTTTGCAATGATAGTATGGCACTCGAAACAGCCAGGCAGTTTGGGCTTCCTAAGGAGGTGATAGCACGAGCCGAGGAACTGTCATCCTTTGTAGAGAATTCTCATGCAGTGCCAATCACAGAAACCAATGACCACTTCAATGGCATTTTTCACGGGTTCTCTAAGAAAGAACCAACCATGGTTGAGCCCGACCCAGAAGAACATCACGACATGAGTGAAGTTCGCGATCTTGTCGCTCAAACGAGTGGTCAGGCACCTGTGTCTATTCGACCTGGTTGGAATCCTCCAGCCGCCCTGGAAGGTCACTCCTGTGTGTACGTCCTGCAGCTCGCAAACGGAGGGCGCCCTTCCTATTACGTTGGCGAGACAGATTCCGTTCAACAACGTCTGAAACAACACCGAAGGAAAAGTGGGGCATGGAAGAGGGCACATGCCATTGCGTTTCCCGTTTCAGGTGGAAAATCCGAGGCTCGAGAGATGGAGAGCATTTTGATACAAAAGCTGAGGCAAGGAGGATACAACATGGAGAGCATTCATGATGGAAGATCACTACGGTCAGCACGACAACATTAGCTAGCAATAGTAGCCCAGATAGCCATATATCTACCGGTACTTTTCTCAAACCATCTCGAACCATCTCTCCTGGATTAGCCAGGTCATGGTACTCGTCTTCCTCATGCGTCCTCATACTTCATCATACTTGACTCTGTCGTCAGCATGTGCACTTGCCGCTTAACTTCTTTGCTTGCTGGGGTCTCACTTAGGATGTTTCAGTTCCTGCTTGCGCTTGCTAAGTTCCATCTCGCACGGAAATTCTTGTTGTTTTCGATGAAGACTTCCTTTAGCATGTCAGGGTGTGCATAGAGTATTCTCCACAAGGCTCCTTGTCATCCAAGGAGTCAAAATGGTAGCCACCTGCAGCAATAGCCTTGACACAACGCTTACCCAACATAGTCCCTTCAGCAACAACTTCTTTGCCATCCTGCTGGTGAATGGATTTTTCCAGCTCCAAGTAGAGCAGACTCGAGCGGTCATCAAGGAAGGGCATGTTTTTCTCACTGGTAAGCTCTCTGAATGTGGCAGTGTCCAAGGATTCTTGGCGACAGTTGACAAAGTCAGCTATGAGGGAGCTAAACTGCTGCCCAGCATTCTCATCTCCCATATCCATATTGCTTGAGATGTGCAGCCACAGTTGGGGGCAGAAGAGATTGTACACAATGTCATCATCTTCACAAATTTCCCAAATTGCCTTACTCAAAGCCTCCCCAACAGCTTGAATAATTGTATCATTGTGGAATATCATGGCATGTTGAACAATGATGTGGCATGTGTTTAGAGGAACTTTCTTGATGAAGTCCAGAGCATCACATTGCAGTTGGTGGATTTCAAAGTACTCCCCAAGATAATACAGAGATGCAGCTGTTTGTACACTGATGTTCACTTCCTTGCTGTGGTCATACAAGTAGTCAAGCATGTCAGTAAATGCCTTGGCTGCCAGTGAGTGCAGTTCAATGCAGCTAGTCGATTGTAGTCCCTCTGGAAATTTGTCATCATTCTGGAAGAGTCGATCAAAATATTCACTCTTTCGTATCCCACAGGCAAGGTTCACTTTGTGGACATGGTATGTGTCCACCTTTGAGTCAACTCCATCCATCTCCGCTTCATTGGATACAAAAACTTCAATCTTCCAGTCACTGTAGGTCTTGTCAGGATCACCACGCCACTTCAGCTCTGCATTCCATCCTTGGCTGGAGGGCCCTGGTCTGATTGTACAGCTTTGTTGGGTCCTTCTGGTGAGCTCATGGTGTTGGCTAGCTAGGAAGCAACGTATATCTGCACTTGAAAGATGCAACAGGAGTGGCTTGTGGGCTGAGTTGCCTTGGCGCCATCGGCGTTCAGCGTGTCGTGTCACTGCACGAACGTGGAAACCACAACAAGAATTTACGAACGAGGAAACGAATTCAGTCAATCGAACTATGCATAGGTACGTAATCGCCCCCAGAGGCAGGGAACTGCACGCTGCGATTGGAGTTGCCTGTGGTGATTTTGTCAACACATGAAACCTGATCGGTGAATGCCGTTCTGCCACGGTAGAAGCCAAAAAAAAGATAGACACCAGTTTTCCTTCTACCGAACTAACTAATATTAATTTTTATGTATCCCAAGCGAATAGAGTAGGACTCCGTTGCAACTTTTGCCTTTGTTGCCTTCCACACACAACAACGTGAACCAATGCCACACATACATTATCTTATTCACAACACCCCCACGTAGTAGAACGTACCCCCCACCGCTTACTAGAGTAGTCGTCCACACCAGCCACGCTACAACTTGACTGTCTTGGCCGGCCGCAAGGAACGTTTCAAATAGGGCGGATCGGCAACGCGAGTTCCCGGGTTGGCGGCCACGAAGGCGGCGGCACTTTGGTCACTCATGGTGTTGGCCAAGAGACTGTTGTCATTGCTATCGTAAGAGATTTGAGTGGTCTTGTTCTGTTCTTTGAGTGGCGGGCTATCGTCGTTTCGTGCCTTGTTGACTTGAGAGGGTGGTGGTGGTACCACCCGGAACGAACTGGCTCGACTCGAGCTGGCTTTGCTAGAGAAATCTTCTTCGTCCAAGCTGGTGCCATCATCCTCCGACGAGTCATCCTCGTCGTAAATGGTACTGTCGTAGGTACCGTCGTATGTACCGTCGTAAGTGCCGTCGTAGGTACTTTGCCGTGATGCTATTGTCGTCGGAGATGGTTCCTTTTCCTTTTTGGCTTCCTTTTCCTTTTTGGGAGGCGGCGGTGGTGGGGGCGGTTCATGGATTGGCAAGAGTGGTGCGGGAGACGATCGTTGTTGTTGTTGTTGTCCGTGTTGCGAGAGCGACAAGTAGGATGACCGTTGCCGTAATTGCTTTTTGGGTTCATGTTGTTGAAAGCGCTGATACTGCTGGTACTCATCCTGCATTTCAAATACGCGGACACTGACTTTATCGTTATCGTGTCCCAATCGTTGATAATTGGGACACAAGTAGGATGTATCGTCATCGGATGCTTGGATGCATGCCTTGCAAATCGACGACCTACACTTGCCACTGGTCAAGGAGGGACGATTAGTAGCAGCAGTGTTGAGAGCAAGATTCGAGGGTGACAATAGGCCGCTTTGCGACTCAGATCCGACTTCCACGTACTTGACGGAGTTTAATTCATCCAATAGTTCCAAATGCGCCATGTTTTCTTCGTCGTCCTCCTCCTCCAACGTGTCATCATCGGTTTCTTCCGCGCCCTTTTCAGGGCCGGAATGGGTCCCTGCCGTGGCGAAGGTTCCATCCGCATCATCGTCCAACTCTGGTACTTTCTTTTCCCTCTTTCCATGTTGGGACGATGCATGGAGTCGCGACACGACGAGATACCCCAACAAGACGGCCAAGAAACCCGCCATGGACGACAAGGCAATGACGGCCACATCTTTGGGACCGGCTTTGTGGACGACTGGTTGTTGCTGTTCGGCTTGAATTTGTTGGGCCGTGTTATCCGTATTGCCTTCGGTGGACGTGACAATGACGGGCGCAAACCCGGGCCCGGGTTCCCTATTGTCATGGGGGAATTCGGCTTGGACAAATGTCAATGCCGTGACGGCAAAGGAACGACCCGCTTCTTCTAATTTGTGATTGACGGGTGCTTTGTAAAAGCTGTGACTCATGTACTCTTCAATCGTCGCCAAGACGTTGGTTTCAATGGTATGCAAAGACGCGGCACCGCCTTGTGGATTGTGCGAATCAAACAGCAACACGATTTCGTTGGATATCGCATCGCAACTCCGTGATTCCTCTGTGGTCACCGAACAGGTCACACGTCCTCCCGTTTGGGAAGAGGAGTATTGCGGAGATCCCGCATGGAGTGACAAGACTTCCAATTCCAAATAACGACGATTTCGATTCGACGGTTTTCGTTGCAGCAAATTGTTGGGACAATGAATGTTGGCCAAACTCTGCAGCAAGTCTTCCCGCAAAAAGGACAGCGCCAATTCTCGCTCTTCTTGGGAGAGATCTTCCTTGTCCGTCTCCATGTGATACGAGACCGTCACGGTGGCATCCATCACCATGGCGTTCGTCCCCAACGACGCATCGCACGAGCGCGTCGTTACGGGCCGTCGATTCTGAGTCGGCTTGTGCGTCATGGTGTTGTTAGCTTTGTTTTACTTTGCTAATTAATTGATCACCGTCGCTCCAAGAGGAGGTCTTGCCAACTGGTAACAAAACAACCAACAAACAAACCCGGCGGCAAACACACACAAGGCAAAAGTGCAGGGGTGTGGGAGGTACAAGTATAGTGCCGTGGGAAGCTCAGACCAGCAATTCCCATTTGAGCTGAATTTGTGAGCCATTGTATTTTTGGTGGCCATGGGGTACAGTTGTTAAATACCAAGCCGAAGATCTCTTAAGTATCCTAAGGTTTGTCAAAATCAAATTTTTCGAGTGTCAAATTTCAGTACGTCCAGGTTTTTGTGTGAACCCAATTTTTCAGGGGTGTGCGCAGAGAGGAACTTTGATGCATGTGTGTCGGTCGAGGCACCTGTCGAGATACATGGCATGTACAGCGTACAATACAGTACATGTAGTTAAGGTGGTTTAAGGAAAACCCGTTGACGCACAGACCCGTGCGCCCCATTCTTTCTCTTTTCGAGGAACGTTTCGGAGCTCGGACCTCGAACCCACATTATGTGGAATAGGGAATCTAACAGTCGAGACACACAAACTTTCCCATTCTAGAGCAGCCGGCCCTCCTCTTCAACGCCCACCATTGACCAATCAGATCGAGGGAGACAGCCGACCTTCTAGAGGCAACGTGGGTAAATCCAATCCAATCGAACTTCCGAGTTTGCTTTCTTTATTACACACCGTGCGACACAAGAGTGTAGATAAGAATAGATATGCATGCAAACACAATGACTTCTGTAATCGAGTATGAACAACAAAGGAGGAGAGGATGGTCGGCAGCCGCCTGTGGTGAAATTGGCTGGAAATACGGCTACCAGGAGCAAGGGCAAGCCACCGAGTCTCCAAGACATTGTGTCATCGCTGGACGAAGTGTTGAAAAAGAAAGCGTTGCGTGAACATGAGTCACTCAAGTTTGGAGGCAACAGATATGACAAGAAGAGGACGGACAATGTTACAATTGCCTGGAACGGGTCATTGATGAACAAAGGGCCGACCAGTCAGAAAGCGCTTTCAACCACGGCCAATGTAGTGATGAAAAGCACTGTGGCATCAGAGGAAACCAGAAAGGAACTTTCTGAATCAGCGAAGTTGAAGAAACCAAAGGCCAAAAGGCAGATTGTGGAGACCGAGTCTGTTGAGGATTTGGTCAGAGAGAATACCAAGTGCCCTGATTGTGACGAATTGGGAACAATGAAACTTTCTTTCAAGACAATTGGTGTTGCCACCATCCCTCGTTTGGAATGCACATCTCCTAAATGCAAAAAGATTCCTCCAAAGGAAGGGCATTACTCAACCACCAATATGAAGTGCCTCACGGGCAGACGCAACAATGCACAGATGCAAACAAATGTCCGCTTTGTGCTTTCATTTATGGCATCCGGTGATGGTGGAACCGAGGCTGGCAAGTTACTCGGTTTTATGGATATGCCCTCCTCAAATTCCATGACTCACTGGTGCTTCAAGGAAATAGAGAAGGAAATTGTTCCAACCATCGTTGCAGTCACTGAGGAGGCAATGGAGGCAAACCTCTTACGTGAAGTTGAACTGGCAATGGCGGATGCATCGGCAAATGGGGAATTCGATTATCAGGAATGGAAAACGCACATTGATTCTAAGAAACCAATGCCATCCAAATTTGGCGAGGCTTTCATTGCTGTTTCGATGGACATGGGTTGGCAGAAACGTTCAAGTGGGCGCCGCTATGACTCTCTTAGTGGGCATGCATTCCTTGTTGGCTACTTAACACGCAAACCTGTTGCATGGTGTCTGAAGAGCAAGTACTGCAGCACTTGTAAGAAACACGAGGGAAAGGAAACCAATCCACCTACCCACGAATGCACAATAAACCATGTTGGAACATCCGGTTCTATGGAGTCTGCCGCTCTCCTCGACATGACAATCGATCTATACGACAATTACCAGGTCGGCTTGATTAAGGTTTTCACAGACGACGACTCTACCATGAAAGCGAATGCACGCTGGTCAAACGCAGATTACATGCAGTACATGGGTCTTACCACTTGTCCCATTGATCATTACAAACTCGATACAGTAAAGAACAAGAAAACTGGAGAGTTCAAAGATAAATGGACATCGGTAAAGAGAAAAGAAGGAGTACTTCCCGTACGTGTTCCACCACCAAATTTCTTTGGAGATCCGGCTCATCGAAAGAAAAGCTATCGGAATGCTCTCTACAAACTGAAGGGACGTCCCGTGAAAACGAGATATGGGTTTACTGAAGGTGACATCCTACGTCTAACAATGTCGTTCATCTTTATGATCCGGCAACTGAAGGATGTGCCGAAGGAGCAATGGCCGTTCAAGTCAAAGGCACTTGTGAATCACCTATTCGACTGCCATGACTACTGTGGTGACTTCTGCCGTCGAAAAAAGGAAACTGAAGAGGAGAAACAACAATCCACTAAGCACTACCGGTGTAAAAAGGATGAACCTGAGCTTTTCGGCGTGCTTACCGAAATCTCCGGCAGGTTCATTACAATGAGTCGTCTTGAAGACGTATGTCACGGTGCCGACACCAATGTCAACGAGTCTCTTAACGGCACCATCACCTGGTTCGCTCCAAAGAATAAGACTTACTCGGGTTCAATCTCCCTCCGCGGCCGTGTCATGCTTGCGGTGGGTATTCATCTCCTTGGATTCAGCAAATTCTTCGAAATCCTTTATAAGAGACTTGGAATGGAGATGGACGACGTGACAAGAAAGTACTTTGCTATGCAGCAGCAACACCGTGAAAGGAAGGCTCACCGCTCCAAAGATACCAAGGTGAAACTGAAGCGCAACCAAAGAACCTACGCAAAAATCCTCGAGTACCATACTGTTCTCAAGGAGGAAAAAAGCAACAATACGTTCTATCAGAGTGGCACAGCTATGGATGATGACGATGTTGAAGCAGGCGAAAGTCCTAGAAAGAAGAGGAAAACGGGTGAGAAATCTCCAACCGGAGAAAAGCCTGATGGAATGAAGGAAGACAACTGGTGCAAGTCTTGTCTACAGTGGGGGCATAAGAGGAGCAACAGCACGTTGTGCCCTAACAACAAAAAGAAAAAAGCACCGGTGTTGGCGAACATGCCAAGTGTCGAGGAATTAGAGGCCATGACAGAAGCAGAATGCGTCTCGGTACAGATGGCGGCGCTAGATTCCGTGGCTCTAGAAGAAGAAGATGACGAGGCAGTGGATGACTTGCTATTGGAGCTAATGGAAATAGAGGAGGATGATTGATTACGGTTCAATAGTGTCTAATACTTATTAGATTGTTCTTTCTTTTCTTCTTTCTTTCTTACACAAATAGTACGTGTTGCCTCCACTCTAGACATCCACAGATCCAGGCGCGTTAGCACACATCCTAGCAACGGCCCAAGCCTTTTTCCAGCTACCATCTTTGTCCACAGTGTCGGATGAACAGGCCTTCTGTACTTCCTCCACGAAGATTTCGAAAGGACTCTGCTTTGCGACAGGAGGAGTGGGTGGAGGAGACATGCAGTAGTAGGCGTTCTTCTTCCTGGCAACCATCCTCCTTTCGTCCTTCACCTTAACGGCATCGACGTCAATGGGTTCTGTGGCCGACGTCAACTGTTTCTTTCGAACCTCAAGTCCAAGATGAGCCTTCTTCACTGCCCTTTCTTCACAGCAATCCGTAGACCTTTTCTCACCTGCAGAGGGGAACACCTTGTAACCCGTGTACTCCTCTGTTGGATCCTTGTTTGCGAACACCTTCTTCACAATCGTCTCAAGGCACGAAGGAAGCTTCCTACGATTGCGCAACATGAACACATTGGTAGCAAACCACGTATACACCACCCAGCGTTTCTTCCCTTCGGACAAGTCTTCGAAGTTGGGGGTGATGATGTCGTCCTCAGCCATCTTGCAGATGATAGACTGGTATATACTATCCCACTGCATCTCGAGAATGTCAAAACTTTTCAGGCAACAGACATCGAAACCATACCTGCCAATGCACCCACAAGCTTTCGAATCGCTGGTATTACTTGCGTCGTCATCTCCCTCTTCCGGCTTTAGAAGTAGGTCAAAGACTCGCTTGAAGTCCGCACGGTTCCAGGTGACCTGACAAGGATCGCCACTCTGCAACTGATGTTTGGTTGCACTTTCATTGTACACAAACGCCTCGTTGGTCTTGGGGTCGTATAAACAACAAGCGCAGGTGAATACAACGTCTCCCTTCAACTTGACAGTGTCCAGTATCGCTGGTACAAAGGAGGAATAGTAGGAATTGGGCTCACTGGAAACAGAATCCGAGTCAGAATCCAAGTAGAAACTGCTGCCATTCTTGCAACCGAGAGGGGAACCATTCTTGGACGCGGCACCCTGTTCAACACTCGGAGGATCAATAAAAGAGCACCGGTTGATTAGCATGCAACGACGAAAGACATGAGGATCATCTTTTGAAAGGTGCATCCAGTTGTAGTCCTCGATGGTGAGGACACTACCGACTGGAATGCCTTGCTGGTTGTCCTCGCCAGCCTCCACCTGAAATGAAAGGCTGCTGTTTGTCACGGCTTTCCAGCAAGTGAAACTTCCATCGCACAATACCATTTTAGCGACCATCTGTGATCGCATCTTGGAGAATACCACTTCTTCTGCACGGTAATCAAGAACAATCGCCTGAAGCTTGGCATTCTTGCTAATATTGTAATTCTTTGGATTGGTAAGCGAATCTGGTACACGAATCATAGGGTAGTCGGCATCATTCGTAATGCAATCAGCGATGAAGTCGACTGATGCTCCACTGCGATGAAGCACAGTGAAAACATCGTCTCTGCCATTGACCAACATGTTGCTTGAACTGGGATGAAAGGGAGATAATAAAACGGCAAATTGTTGTGGTTCGTCGGCCAATCCAATCCCCGCCACCAAGAATTGATTGGCGCCATATCGTGAGATTCCTTTTCGGAGGAGAAAAAGACACTCTCAGGATCGGATCGACTAGCCGGTAAACTCGATTTGAACAACAAAATCAACCCGATAATTTGTTTCAACAGCCAGCCAACTTGGACGTCCTGCAGGATATGCCAATGATAACCAATGACAAAGCCGACAGGTGGACCCAGTAAATGGAGGACGCTCTACAAGATGGTGGCAAGGATAACAGCTGCTTTGGACGGTGGAGTGACCTGGTCGGTGCATCTTCGAAAGAGGGAAAATGCGGGTTGGTGCAAGTGGAGGTGTCCCTATCATGACGAAAACATGGAACTGGCTGTTGCTGCTACCACCGATGTCTGGGTAGATGTCTAGGGAGTCGATACCACCAATGGCAAGACCTCTGGGGTATCCAATAGGGCGGCTCTATCCAGTCCAAACAGCGGCTGAACGTCATTGTGAAATACTGAGTTTAACCACGCTGTCACTGTGTTAAATTGGGTTATTAGCTCACGTGAGTCTTATTCGTGACTAAGTATTCCTTAAACCACCTTAAGATGGCTCTGCAGTGGCTGCTGCTGATTCGAGTCGAGTCAACTCTCAAATCACTCACGCCAAGCCGCCATGGCCGGGCCAGGCCGCTAATAGGGCATCTGGCAGCAGCCAGCCACACTGGAGTAAGGATTGCCGGAACATGGAGAAATTAGGAGCAAACGCCAGGGAGGAACTGGCTGAACTCAACGATCCACGAGATAAAGGTACAGTACGTGATTGTAACCTTGAACTACTAGTATTAATAGCTCGCTCCTCCCCTGAGGTGCGGCTGTCGCCACTGCTACCGGTAGGAGATTGCACCTTAGAGAAGCATCCCGTAGAAGCAGAAAGCAGTATCATACTTCAGGCCTCATTCCCAAGAAACTTTGAAAGGGGCAAATGGCTGCAGAAACTGCCTGATTGATACATAGTCGAGTGCGTCTTAGGAAGTATGAGGAGGACGTGTAACTTGGTTTGAGTTGGTTTGAGATAAGTACATATGTGGCTCTTCTGCACCTATCTTCTTCATTACTGTGGCTGGCTAGCTAGCTGTTGTTCTTTTGCTGGCTGCAGTGTCCATACGGTGACGAGAAAAGGGGCCAGCGGCCGCAGCAGAACGTAAACTCGCAGCAATCGATCTGTAGTCTAGGCTTTCCTCACGAGCAACGCAGATGCGCACTGGACAACCAGGAACAGACAGTTTGAGGAGATGGCGGTCAAAAGGAAAAGCCACGAGACGCAAAAACCAACACATACAACGTCATCATCATCACAATCAATCGCCCTCGCAACGCCTCAAGGGGAGTGCGCTCCCAGGAAGACCATCTAGGAAAGAGACCAACCAAGCATCAGAGGAGGAGGGGGGTCATTCACATGGAGCAAACGTAGATATAAAATCATTAGGCGCTCTCTACCGGAGCGACTAAAGTAGCGACTAAGGCCATATTTATAGTTTGTCCATAGTTTAGTCTCTGGAGGTGGTGTCTACCCAAGCGACTAAAATGTCCCATGGACTAAAGGCTTTAGTCAAAACGCTCCTTCACCGACTAACGGGAGGCTGGTTAGTCGGTGAGCGAGCGTAAGGACTAAAGCTTGTTTAAGAACTCTTTTAAAAGAATCAGCCTCATTGCACAGCCTCACTATCAGAGCATCGCGACAGAGCTGATAGAGTAGAGGTGCAAACCGATACCGTAGTCGAACCGATCGAAGAGGAGTATCGGCCAATGGAGTAGAAGAACTCTTTAAGAATGAATCAGCCTCATTGCACAGCCTCACTATCAGAGCATCGCGACAGAGCTGATAGAGTAGAGGTGCAAACGATACCGTAGTCGAACGATCGAAGAGGAGTATCGGCCAATGGAGTAGAAGAACTCTTTAAGAATGAATCAGCCTCATTGCACAGCCTCACTATCAAGAGCATCGCGACAGAGCTGATAGAGTAGAGGTGCAAACGATACCGTAGAGGTGCAAACGATCGATCGAACGATTGAATGATAGTAGAGGTGCAAACGATCGATCCAACGATTGAATGATACTACATGTAGTTAGTAGTATTACCTCGGCAGGTAAACTGCCTGAGTTCTCAACCCCTTTAATGACCTTGGCAGGTAAACTGCCTGAGTTCTCAACCCCTTCAATGCTATTTCCTATTTCCTATTTCCTATTTCCTATTTCCTATTCCTGAAAGATGGTTGCAATCTCGAACATGATCCTCCTTCTTCTATCTGTCTTTCTGCCGAGGTATCGCAGCTTCCGCTGACTTATTTCCTATTTCCTATTCCGGTGAAGCCAAAGTATAAGGATAGAGATAGTCATAAGCCAACAAAACTGAACATTGATGGTTCAATACAAGTTAGGGTAGGAATAAATCATTAATATTTAAGGTTAGTGCAATCAGCACAACAGCACAATAAGCCAGCAGGAGCTGTAAAGGTTAGAGTTACAATAAGGGAATGGCAGCTGGTAAATTATAGAGTAGCGGGCGGCAACACACGACGTAGTCGGGTGTTGTCGCCAGGGCTAGCTTAATAAAGAAGGTTGCAATGAGGGAATGAATGATACTGGGCGGCAACACATGACGTAGTCGGGTGTTGTCGCCAGGGCTGGCTTGAAAGATGGGTGCAATCTCGAACATGATCCTCCTTCTTCTATCTGTCTTTCTGTCAAGGTATCGCAGCTTCCGCTGACTTAAATAGTGGAGGTGCGAACGAGACAGAGGAGAGGTGCATCGCAATATCGCAATGGTGTGTTTTGAGTCTTGTTATCTCAAATTTGAGAACATTCGAGGAACCACGACTCTAACTTGATTGCATCTCGCATCGGTCTGGATTCGTTCGCTTGAGGAATCCAGCAAAGCATTGGCAGTGCGCCAAAAAGTCTGTCCAGCAGTTTAGGGATTGATCAGCAAATGCCCCGGCACCACCTATTTCACGACAAAATTCATCAGGATCGTCATCGTGGCAGTCCGTAACACAGGTGTCACCCTCCACAACGAACTCCGGATTGCAAAGGCAATCCTCTTCAAAGTCCTTATAACAGCTCTTGCCCGGCTTGGCATGGGCTTCAGGATGTTGGTCACGGCACCAAAAATCTGCATTTTTGAGATTACAATCCGTACAATGACCATTGTTGACCCAAAACCCAGATTCGCATTGACAATCCTCGTCAAAGTCAGTCCAACAGGTTCTGTCGGTTCTGTGGAAGGACCGATGATTACCAACACTGCGACACCACGCGGTGGGATCATCTTGGTTGCACAGTTCGCAGCCATCCCTGTCTTGGCGATGGGTTGGAGGGCATTGACAATCCTCTTCAAAGTCATCATAACAATCCCACCCAGGAATAGCAAAAGCGACACTGGACGTGGAGGAGCCATTGTGAGCAGGAGATGGCACGACAAGCTCGACTAATGTAACTAACTGTTGTCGTACCTGGAGAATTCTTGGCAAAACTCATTTTTTTGGGTCAAGTGACAGTCCTCGCATTCTTTGTTCGTTTTCCGGTAGCCAGTGCGGCAGAGGCAGTGCTGAAAACAGAGGAAATGAAATAGATGAGAGGATCACAGAGTTGTCGGGGGGATCGTGTCATGTGCCAATGCAGACTTACATCTGCAAAGTCATTCCAACAAATCAATCTAGGGTCGGCAAAGGCACCTTGGCCCCCCCCACCCTGGCAGAATCGGTCTCCGGTATTCCAGTTGCAAAACTCACACTCTTCACCATCGAGGCTCAATTGGTAGAGTGGTGTATTGCACACACAATGCAACCGAAAGTCGTTGTAGCAGGGTAGGTTCCCGCTACTGTGGAAAAAGAGCACACATGAGGGATGAGTAGAGGACCACACCGGCCACCAGAGAGCAACAACAGCAGCAGCAACAACAACAACAACACCATCAGACAACTTACCGGGCCCTGGCACCTTCTCCTCCTTCGTCCTGGCAGAATTCATCTGGCGCTAGAAGGTTGCAGTCGTCGCCATGGAGCTCCCGATTCTCGAGGACTTGCTCTGGTGGTCCTTCTTGAACACCGCTAGCGACTGGAAGCAATGCAACCAAAAAAGCGATGATCAGCTTCATGGTTAACTTATAAAATACAATTCTAAACCTTGTGAGCTTGGGTGGGTTGATGATCTCTCGATCTTTCTCCAAGCAAGAAACAAAATTATGATGCTGCTTCAAAAGTTGGTCTTCTCTTGAAGCCCTCTTGTGCAATCGCGCGAGGGTGCTTCATAGCATACAGTAGTGTACATGTACAGTACTTGGTCTTGGAGCCCTGCCCTGCAGTCGCTCCAGGCAGGGTTCTCGAAGGACTGAACACGAACACAGAGCAAAAAGAGAGCGCGCTAAAAAATGAATTGACAGAGATGGGGTGGAGAAAATCAATACCACCCCCTCACCACCGCTTTTTGTCTTGGAGCCCATGATACCGGTTCCTACCGCATGTACCTGGTACGTACCAGAAACTCGGCCGACCGTCTCCATCCATTCCCCCAGGCCCCCAGGTACCATTGCAGCCAACCACTACGCTTTGAAATCCTCACCACAGTCCACCCCCTTGATTTCTCCACCCCCCACACGGTGACATCGTGTACATGTAATGTACTAGCTAGTACCAGGTAGCTCATCTTGTCAACGTTACCACCGGACTGGCAAGAAAAAGGCGGAACAGGAAGATTTCTATTGGTGATAGATATTTCGTTCCTTCCACAAGTGTGACACTTCGGCAACCACGTCACCGTTATGTCCCTCGAGTTCTCTTCCGCTTTAGAAAAATGCTACAGTATCAGGAAGGCAACCGGTTGGCGATAGTTAGTCGCGTTTACATAGCATAAGTCGCTGTAAAGTCGCTAAAGCACATTAAAGTCGCTATTAAAGTCGCCTTAAAGTCGCGGTAAAGTCGTGCGCGACTTTAAAAGTCGCGGTAAAAGTCGCGGTAAAGTCGTGGTGAAATGGAGGTTTTTACTAAGTATAGTCGCGGAAAAGTCGCGGTAAAAGTCGCGTTAAAGTCGTGGTAAAGTCGTTCGCGACTTTTAAGTCGCGAAAGAGCGCGACGTTTGGCGAGTTTCGCGACTTTCAAGAAAACACGACTTTATGACGTCACCGGGTGCCTTCCTGGAACTCCACGGTGAGCTTCTTCCGTCTTCAAAAAAAGTCGTACAGTATGAGAAAGACTTTTTTCTTCTTCCGGCTGATTGTCTGCAAAGCTTGACCACCCCCTCCATCATCTAGCTGGTGCCTAAAAGCTCCTTTTTGTACCTTGTACGTACATGTACCAGCACTGCATGAAAGCCGCCGAAAATTGTTAGTTATCAACAGATCGATCCATACCGTAGAGAAAGAGACATTTTGTTTGTTGTTGGTTGTGTAATGGAGGCATGGCGTTGCGTTTGCTTGAGGATCTCTCTAACAACAATAACACTGCGTCATCGGTAGCAAGCAACGAGACTGTCAGTATCCCAGTCTTGTGCTTGACCACATCCCCCTGTGCTACACAGACTAGTGTTGTTGTTGTCGAATGGGATGCCGACACCGAAGGACTCCCGAATATTACCACCGAAGGCATTCTCTTGTTGAGTGTTTTGGGAATGGCCATTTTCTTTGTCACGCTCGTAGTGTTGGTGCGATGCCATCATCGTTTCAATGGTATATGGCGCTGCATCGTGTTGACGGGCCAGTCGTGTGATTTGATCGAAGTGGTGGTGGTAGCCATGATTGGTTTACCATTGGCTATCATATTGGGTGTGGTGGCGGCCGTCCTGTATTTGTGGGATTTATTGTTGTCATTACTCTTGCCTGACCACAACAAGAAGAAAAAGAAGAAGGATAACAGTGACATGAGAATGACGGCCACACAAGACGAGGACGAGTTGTCGGGAAACCACTCTCGTCGTCATTCAGATGGAGATTTGTCCTTGGATACCGGACGCATCGGCGAAAGCTTTAATGAACACCAAGCGAGGAAAGAAACATTTGACGACGACGACGATGAAGAGAATCAAATGAAGAAGGTGGCCCCGCTGGATAAGGATGACGACGACAACAACAAGAACGCAAAGATGGCACTACAAGACACGAGAATGGTACGGGATAACAACAGCAACAACAATCGTTTTCAAGATGAACATTTGGGTCTGGAACACAACGCGTAGGGGTGATTTATTTTATATCACCCCCTCTTGCGCACCTTGATTGCTCACTGGTCTTGGCAGTCAAGATATGAGCCTTCTCTGCCGCCAGATGCTAGTCTGCGGCTGGCTACGACAAAAAATATCTACATGGCTACCTGGCTACCTAGCTAGCTTGCTTGGCTACCTTGATGGGAAGGAACTCGGTATGTCGTTGAGATGACTGATATGCTTTCCAAGACGACCCTGATGCATCCAAGATCGAGGCTGTCTTGTGCGGAGATGGGTTAGCCGGGCGGGAGAAAGCGACAAACCACAAAAAGAGACAAATATATGCTCTGCTTTTCGGGAATAGCTTGGGCCTGACGATTTGGCCCTTGCTGGCAACAAGGTACGCACACCCATGTGGATGCATTCAACGGCAAGCTCTCCTCCAACGGAGCAGCAATGGCTGTTGTCTCCTCCGCTACCGTACATAGTACGCTACAATCAATATACGTGCATTATTCTTCCTTCCCAATAAATCAAACGCGGACTTCGGCAACCTTCTAATGCGTGACAGCTCCATGATTGCTCACGTTGCAACAACTCACATTTCACATACTGACCATAAGACTAGCTAGATTCCACTCTCGCTGAATTCCTGACATTGCATTGTTGTATGGATTGGAATTTCTGATCATACTGTACAAGCCGTTTCGCTCTTCGCAACGATGCCTTGCTGACAACTGCCACTTTGGCTGCCAAAGGCTGGACAACTTCCCAAACGAACACTGGACCAACTAGACTCCTTCACCTGCCTCAGCTGGGCCCCAAACCAAGAGCTATCGGTATCCACTCTTTAGCATTTGTTTCCTGGAACTGCTCTCCTACCCAGATGTCCTCTGCGATGTCGAAGGATGGCCTCAACGAAGAGCACCCTCGTCGTCTACCATTCTATTGCTTCCTTTCCAGAAAACAAATACTAAATAGATATGTTAAGGAGCGAGGGGGGCGAAGCTAGAGGCAAAGCAGTGGCTGCGGTGGTGGGCGGCTGTTGTGGTGGGCGTACGGGGAGAGCAATGAGGACGCGAGCAGGGCAAAAAAGGGGGGCAGGGAAGGGGGGTGCAGGGAGGAAAACCAGGAAGGAGAAGGGAGCAAAATTAGCGGAAGAGTGCAAGTGCACCATTGCTTCCTTTCCATGGTTTCAAAAAATGCTCCTCGTAGCGAAAGGTTTTTTGTAAGGGTAGATTTACCGTACAACAATGACCCTTCTGCTGAAAATGACCCGAAGGCTCACAATTTTGTCAAGCAAGACTGATGTCCAACGGGAAGCTGGATGGATCATGGATCCCACCCCCGAACGTGAACACAAGTCCCCTTGGGAAATAAAACTTGAATGAATGAGGGCCTTTTGAGATACAACCAAAGACTTTACAGTACTATAGCAGCGCTTCCACCATGAGCGTGCTTCGAATCCTCCAAGTATCCAACAGTACTGCAGTAGGTGTTGTGCCAGCCGATACAGATACTTCCATTGCACCAGCCACCACCGATGCGCCTCAACCATGCTTGACCACCCAACCAGAACCATGTTTTCCGCCTCCACCTGCCAATGTCGATTGGAGCGATGGAGCAACCGAAGAAGTTCCCTCTGTTACATCGGGTGGCATTCTCGCCTTTATTGTCTTGGGCTTTATCATTGGAGTGGTCGTGTTGTTCATTGTGTACCGTTGTTTGCGGTCTCGTCCGGGTCAACAGGGCACCGTGTTGGATGAAGTTACCAAAGGTGGGCAAGAGGAATGCGATCAAGATGTCTGCGCCGAATGCCATGGCAGCTATTTCGTCTATCTGATTACCTGTCCTATTCTGCTGGTCCTATTCCTACAACGACAATGTTGTTGTTGTGGAACTACTTCTACAGGTCACAAAACTGCCTCGGCACCTACTATGCCTACCCATAAACAAAAGCCCTCCTCTCATATACCAGAGCCAGAAGAAGAATATGATCTGGAAGTGGGTGGTGGATACTACAACGACTACAACAACCACGAGTACAATTCAGTACCACACAGTCAGGATCCACAACAAGATTCTGCCATGGAGGAAGCCGAGGAAGAAATCATTGAGTTTGTATACATGGAACAGGAACTGCAAAACAAGTTGCCGGAACTGTCCAGGCTGCATGATAGTATGGGGGATGATCCTCCCGGCGAAGTGATTGACCAATCCGCGCTGTATCTGGATCGATATCCAGCAGCAATAAACCAAGAACAACAAGCTCTAGTGGTGGCAGATCCACAACAACAGCAACACGAGGAGCCACTAGAACCAGTCTACTATGACGATGAAGAAGTTGTTATGGACGAACTAGTGTTCGATGAAGAAATTGTATTTGAGGAGGAAGAAGCATCGCACGAAGAGGAAATACTGAACGAGGAGGAACTATTACACTATGACGAGGACGTCGTGCACGAGGAGGAGGAAGTGATCATGCCAGAGGAACCACCGTCTCTGTCGACCACAACAATGTCACACGCGGAACAACCCACAAGAGAGTTTGGCACTACTTCCAGTCCGTCCATGTCGACTGCACTACTACCCCAACAATATGCCATAGACGAAACGTCAACGGTGAATGCAAATCCCTCCATGTCTACTGCAGCACTACCACTACAATCGACAGAGGAAGCGTCCACTGAAGATGCCTATCCGTCTACTGCAACACTACCACTGCAACCCACAGAAGACACGTCCACTGTGGATGGCAGAATAACAACGGCAGCCTCCGATGATGCCATTGGCACCACGGACGACTCTACGAGGCTTTCGGCCACTGTAGCTTCGGATGATGCCATTGTAGCTGCCGATGATTCCCTCGTCGTGGTCCCTCGCCAACGACTACCGTTGGAACCACCAGAGGAAGCAGTCGTACACTTTTTGGAACCAGAGGAGGAGGAAGAAGAAGACGTTTTGCTGGAAGAAGAAGAAGAAGTCATGGAAGAAGAAGTGGTGGAAGAAGAAGAAGTCATGGAACCCATGGAGGACTTTTCTCTCAATATGCGAGTAGTGGACAATGTCAGTGACTATCAGACCAAGGACAACACGTTCGGAGAGGAAGAACTCGAAGAAGAAATCATTGAAGAGTACATAGTTGAGGATCAATCTGTTACCGAAGAAGAAGTGGTGTACGATGAAGAAGAGGAATACAGCGAGGAGGAGTTTGTAGAGGTTGCTCAGTAGACTACTGCCTGAGCGACGACAACCAAGTGCATTTCCTAGAGATGACCGACCACACGAGTCGAAAGAAGTGATGGGATAAAGGATGGATTTAGTCTGCAATGATACATGGGCCACTCACTTGCCGATATAAGTAGCATCAGTCTTTGTGGCTGATAAGCCGACGAACGAACATGTTGTGCTACAATAGGTTTATATTTCTATCTCCTGCTCTAGCGAAAAGTGGTAATGGGTACAGCCGCACCTGTGCAACCAGCCCCTACCGGTATCTAGTGTACCAAGTTACTTGCAAAAGGTATCCGACCAACTCGACGATGCCCCTCTGCCAAGGCCGTCCTTGACAGCAGCTGCGGCGGACTGTTGAGGGTGTGTTGAGCTAATAGCTATCTAGCTGGCCGGTATCAAGAGGACCATGTTGGGAACGCGGTTCAATCATTACGAAAGGTGTTCGGCATTGGAGTTTCCACTGCGCGCGCACGTCCCGGTATTTTGCCGCCGAATTCTTCCCAATCTGCTTCGGCTCTCATCTTGCTGCTCACTACGATTATTCATATCTGTCTTTATTTGCCACCATGAGCTCCTCATCAGCAACACAACGACTATTATTATCATTAAAACGAAAGGAAAAAAGCAGCGGCACTGATATTAATAGCAATGAACCCACCCCCAAAGCAGCACGAAAAGATGAAGGCCCTCCAGCAAAGGATGGAAATGCAGAGCTGAAGTGGCGTGGTGATCCAGACAAGACCTACAGTGACTGGAAGATTGAAGTTGTACGCAGTGATGATCTGAAGGAGGATGGCAGTGAGCTCAAGGTGGTCACATACCATGTCCACAAGGCAACTCTTGCCTGTGGCGATCGAAAGAGTGAATATTTTGATCGACTCTTCCAGAATGGTGACAAATTTCCAGAAGGACAACAATCGACAAGCCGTATTGAACTGCACCTGATGGCTGCCAAGGCATTTCCTGACATGCTTGACTACTTGTACGACCACAGCAAGGAACTGAACATCAGCACAGGAACAGCTGCATCTCTGTATCATCTTGGGGAGTACTTTGAAATCCACCAGCTGAAATGTGATGCTCTGGAATTTATCAAGAAAGCTCCACTGACAATCTACGACGTCATTGTTGAACATGCCATGAAATTCCACAATGATACCATTATCGAAGCTATTGGGGAGGTTTTGAGTCAGAAAATTGAGGACATTGATCCAGATGGTGACATTGTGACGGATGTCTTCTCCCCCCCTTTGTGGTTGCACATCTCAAGGTTTATGGATAAGGGAGATGAAATTGATGGGAAGCAGTTGAGCTACCTCATAGCTCAATTTGTGAAATGGCACAAAAATTCCTTGGACACTGCCACATTTGAAGAGCTTACCAGTGAGAAAAACATGCCCTTCCTTGAAGAAGGCTCGAGTCTGCTTTTTTTGGAGGTGGAAGAATTCCTCCGCAAGAAGGGTGGCAACGATGTTGTTGCTGAAGGGACTCTGTTGGCTAAGCGTTGTGCCAAGGCTATTGCTGCAGGTGACTTTGAATATAATGGCAACAGTCAAAAGGAGTCCTTGTGGAGAATACTCAACACACACCCTGCTATGCTAAAGGAAGTTTTCTTTGAAAGCAACAAAAACTTTCTCAAGTGTAAGAGGGAACTGAAAAAGTACCAGCGAGAGCCCAAGCGCAGAAGTCAGCTATCAGCTGCACTTGACGTCAAGCTAAGCAGAAGCTACCGACAGGGAAAACAGCTTCCACCAAAATTTCGTTAGAGCTAGTAGTGGTCTCTTGCTTCCTCGACAGCAAGATGCAGTTCTAGAAGCAGGATACAGTTCTAGCTTGAAGTGGCATAAAGTATTATTTGCGAGCTTTTACAGTATTGCCTCGAAATTCACACAAGCTAGCTAGATAGGCGTGCGGCGGCGACCCCGCCTCTCTCTCTCGTCATGAGTGCCTCTATGGAAGTGAATCCCGACTCTTGTATCGAATGCCCCACAATTGATTTTTTGATGGAATCAATCCATCTTTGTCTAGCTACAGTAGCTCTGTAGAACGAGCAGCCATGGAATCCATGCTTTTCGTCCAAGTTTGTTGTTTCATCAATAAAACGCAGCAAATCCCTTGGATTGTCGTCGAATCCTTTGTATTTGATTGCCGCTGAGTAGCTGGTACCAAGTATATACCAAATACAAGACAGCACAGCAAAAAGACCCCATCCATCGCATCCCCGTTTCGTCTTAATTAATTTGGATTTTCGGATTATCGTGTTGTTTCGTTTGTTTTATTAAGGTACGGCACGGTAGATTTCTAGAGACATGATGCATTTATGCATTACGAGCTCTTGCTTCGTCGTCTTTTAAACTTGGATTTGGAATATTATCGTGTTTCATTTGGAATATTATTTGTTTTGACGAGCAATATATGACAAGACTGTTGCCTCCACTCTTGCAACAAGTCAACACATGCTTGCATATCCCCAATCACCTTTGGTTCCTTGAGATTGGAATCCAAATTGATCCATTGCGCCTGTTGTGGTTGCCACAGCAACGTGAACCAGTGTCGTCCTTTGGTCACGTATCGCGCCCAAAGACTGGTCGATGGTAGATTGACCACAATTCCAGCCACTGCTGAAGGCTCACTAGTAGTTGTAGTGGTAGTATTGCTACTAAAATACTCTTGCAATACAGCCAGTGTCATTTCCTGTCGCGCATCGTGCCATTGTACGTCAAGTCCCTGTTTTTGTTCGAGAATTACCATGAGCACGTTGGCATCGTAGTTCCCAATGCCCCACATGGATCGATGAGGATTCATTATGGAGGAAGGTGCCAAGTCGTCACACACCGCATCGAACGTGTCCTTGTCATACGCCTGTTTTTGGAGTAGATTGTTGACGGCGTGGACGCCACAAAAGGCCCATCGTTGACGTTCGTGGTACATGGTCGATACAACTACTATCTATCTATCTACGAATCGAATCTGTAATAGCAATAAGGCCGAAGCAAATCGAGCAATGGACAGGCAATGCCATGGTCGATTTGACGGGTTTGGCGTGTTAGCGTTGAGTTGGATCAAAAGGAAAAAGATCTATTATCAGACGCGTTCGGTACTCAAAGCAAGTTTCTCACACCAAAACACAACACAAAGATCTTGATGCATTTTCGACGATGATGAATGCTGGAAGAGACCCAACAAACCAACAACCAGTCCATTGACAAACCAACAACTACATACAACCAAGTCCAAGTAAATAGAACCGAGACAGACAGACACGGCTTGCTAGCCAGCTAGCCAGGAAAGCAAGATCATCAGCTGGCAAATGACAGGGAGTTCTTTGCCTCACTACTACTACGCATACTTGTCCAGCAAGACCAGTCGCCATGTCCTGATCGGATCGATTGCTGTGTTGATCCTCTGGAGATTGGCACACGACACAGTCTTCCAGAAGAAACAACCCTTGATTATTCGCTACGAAAATCACATTTTAGAATCGTCGCATCCTCGCTGTTCCCCACGGATTGGTCCCAACACTACCGTTCTGTTGGTCCGTGGCCCCACATGGCAACAATTTCACGGCCCAAGCAAGTCGGTGAAACGAGGAGGGGAAGCCTACGTCTTTGCGTCGTTGGATTGGGCACTGCAACAATTGGGCGTCACGGTCGTCCAAACGGAACAATCGTTGGAAGAATTGGGTTTGACCGAATTGCAAAAATACAATCGCATCATTGCCAATGGACTCGAATGGCCGCTCGAGCGAAAGCACAGTGTCGTGTGTCGTCATCGACCACTGCATTTTTGGGGCAATTGGAAAGGCACCGATGGTCATCCATATGTGCCCAAACAAGTTCTCTCGCCATTTCCCGATGATTACAATACATTTTTGGGATTCTTTATGCATGCTGTGCTACTGGAAACACCCGCACAACAACGACGCATCCCGGCAACGACACGACACAAACAAGGACTCATTGTCGGAAAAATACCCGAATTGTTCACATCCGAACGAGTACGGCCGGTTCTAGAAGCTCTCATCGAAAATGGATTTGTCCTCTACTCGGTCTGCAAAGCTCCCCACCATTGTGGACTACCATCACAAGTCCTCATTCCACCAGCGCCCATGGGACCCGTCGAATACGCCCAATTCATGTCCGAAATGGCCTTTCTCATTGGATTCGGGGATCCCATTATATCCCCGTCCCCATTGGAAGGATTGGCCCATGGCGCTGCCTGGTTGAATCCCCACAAGGAATACACGTCGCCCACAAGAGAACAAGCCGCCAGAGACGTGCTGGACAAGGAACCGTATTGGCATTGGACCCATCCGACACCGTTGAATACGCAACACAATCCACTGGCATTACTGGGCGCCCCCTATGTGTACAATATTCACTTGGAAAATGTGACACAAGTCCTCGCGGCGGCGCATCATGCCGTCCAGTATCGATTTCAATCCTATGTTCCACCCGAGTTTCGCCCCGAAGCCATGATTGCCAGAGCGTGTGCCATGCTGGAAGACGATTCCATTTGCGAGTGTCCATACCATAATAGTGTGGATTGTCGGGCCAGTTCGTACATGCGAAATCCACCCCATCAAGAATAAAGCAATGAGGTGAATGAAATTGGTGCAAAGAAGACATTCATGATTGGGTGGGCAACCGCTGCCAGGAAGCAACACTTGTTTGTGCACGACTATAATATGACAATCCACGCGACGTACGCGCACTACAAGGCAATTTACAAACAGCAAGAGTTGCATGACGATGTTATCTATCCGTGTCGCGGATCGAACTCAGCTCAGGCAGTGGACACATCTTCCACAAGTTATGTCTCTTGACTGCCAAAAAAGGGTTGCAAAAGACACAAAAAGCAGGAATGTTCTTGGTTTGGGCAAGAAGCCATGGCGCAAGGTATACATTTTATGGCAATCTGGTGCCGTGGATCTCGGAGTGAGCAAACGCAACCCTTTGCTAGAAAGCACTAGCTAGATAGCTTGGCTTTGGCTTTCGTTTTGGTTTTCGAAAGAGAAAATCTGATCTGCTAAGGTCTATGACATCGATAGATAGCGCTCTACTACTAGCTAGCAGAGAAAAGCAAATCCCAAAGAATTGACGGTAGTCTAGTCTATCCATCTGCGGAGGATATGATGCATCTCTTGGCAGCCACAGCTGCTGCTACTGCAGCGTCACACAGTAGACTACAATCCAAAGAAAGATGCAGCTTCTGAAAGTGAAAGTGAGCGACCTTGGAAGGATGGCACTTCGTTTGGCAATTGCCTTTCGGTGAACTGTGAACTGAAAGTCAACACTGTCACTAAAACTTCATACACTCAATGCACTCACCTCCGACAGACACCTTCCGGTTACTATGTCACCAGAGGCACTGTATATTCTGGAGAAGCCACTTTACACTTTACACTGTATGCAGGATGCTTCTGACTAATAAACGCGGGCATCTTTGAGTGACATTTTTAATGTTAGAATCCTCTTTCGAAAGTTAAATCCATTGCCGCGACAGAAGATCACTTTCTGATCCAGCTGCACTAAGCTACTTAAATCTTGTGTCCACCAATCGCACTTTTGTGCTGTTAAAAGGCATTGGATCAACTGCCAGGGAGCTAAGCTGGCAGTTTTGGTCGGCGAAGACCTCAAGGATCAGAGGCATCTGCATCTACCGGTACCACAACCAACCTTCACGGGCTTTTGTCCAAGAACCCAACAGCTACCATCTATCTCGTCACTCAGCTTCACGCAAGAGATCTATTTCTCAACATACATCAAAATTCATCAGTGTCCATATTGCTACCTGATCCCGCTTTTTCACCTAGCTTCCCCACCCATGGCGGCGAGCGCAACCATGAACATTGTAGCCGAAATACCCGAGGTAGCCAGAGCCCGCTTTGTGCCAGAAGAATTGGGAGACAACATGACAGAAATCTCTTCTTCTGCTGCTGCCAACGGCCTACTAGTAAACGACATGATTCCAGAAGGGTATCGCCAGCCTTCTCCTTTTGATGAGGATGACTATAGTACCGCAACCGAAGAAGGGTTGAGGGGTAGCTCTGCCAGTTCCTGTACTTCTACGGGCAGTGTGGGCAAGGAAACGTTTCCAGAATCAAAATTTTGCGACCTCAAGCCATCCGCACCTCTATTCGCACCCCAACCAATCAAGGGTCTATTGACGAGCAGTGGTGGCATGCCCCCCAACTTTCAGCCGTACGAGAGCTTCTACAATGTGCCTGTAGGGACAGGTAACATCGAGGATACCAAGGGGGTGCTGGCTTTGGTGACCCTTCCTACACCGAATCAGCATGATGATAATGACGACAATGCTACCCTTCATTTTAATGGTGTCCATCCTGCTGTGGATGAGGAAAGGCCATTGAACCATGTGCCATCAGCACCAGCAGAATCACAAAAGCAACCCGCATCCACTAGTTTTCGAGTCAGTAGCAGCAGTGTTCAAGAGCAGGGGTATCCTCAGCATCCTGAAGGAGGCTGCAGTATTACTGCCAGTGGTTATGCTCCTGCCGGTAGTGTGACCAAGGAGATCTTTCCAGGACAAGAATTTGGCGACTCCAAGCCACCCCCCAAGGTAATAGCACCACAGTCAATCAAGGGGATATTGAAGAACAGTGTTAGCATACCCCCCAACTTTCAGCAGTACTATAATAACGAGGGACTGCCCATGGGGACAGGAAACATTCAGGAGAAGGGGGCTCTGGATTTGGCTACCCTGCCTCCTATGAATCATGATGAAGACAGCGACAACAATGCTACCCTTCATTTTAATGGTGTCCACACTGCCATGGATGAGGAAATGCCATTGAACGATGTGCCACCACCAGCAGCAGAATCACAGAAACAACCAGCATCCTATAGTGTTTCTGCTGACTCCAGACCCTCTCGCTTATTGAGGTTGGTCCAACAACTGGTGGCCACGGATTCGGATTTTGACAAATCGGATTGGGAAACCTCCACTGAACTGGAGCCGCAACCGCAACAGCAACAACAGCAGCAAGAAACCGACGATGAAGACCCAGCCTTTGAACCCACCAAGACAGAAATTCGTCAATTGCGGCGCGAAATCTCAATGAGATCCAAAGATCTTTGGGTAGGTTCCATCACGGCCGATTTGAATGTTGTGGAGACGTCGGGGACACCGGAAGTTCTCATGAAAACCGCCAGCAATGCTGATATCATTCAAAACAAAGTAAACGATCAACAGGAACAACAAGCACAAACCAACAAACCAATGACACGAGCCGATTGTCGCAAGGCACTCATCACATTGGCCATTCTGCTGGTGCTGTTTGCCATTTGGATTACCGTGGGATTGGTCATGACAAACAAGGGTGATGATGTTACGGAGGAAACGCTCTCACCCACTTGGGACGCTGAAGCAGAGGAAGAGTTCAATATGAACACTACGACGACCATGTCGCCCACTGCGTTGATTTCTGCGGCTGCCGAGGTCCTGGAACCCTGATTCCTGCTTTTCTCCATTCTTTGGCTTCCGATCCTCCCATTCTTTCGCACGAACTGGGACCTGCAAATCCGGCTTTATGGGCAATTTTCTTGCTTCCACTACAGCGGAAGCACGCATTCAAAACCTCCCGCAATGCTTCAACCATCCAAGCAATGCTAACCTTGGTTTCAGGACGCATTCTTGGGAACACACACTTTGGCAGGATCAGCTTGAGGGCAGGCCGACCTAAGCGAAAAGAAGGCAGTCCTTTCATCTTCACAATCAACTTATATACAAAAACGTAGCAGGGGTGGGGGCACGGTATCCAACGATTGCCAGCATCTTTCGAAGCTCCATGAGATAGCTACGAGAAGCTGTTCTTGTCTTGGATAGACAACGCTAATAATCTCTGTATTAAATGCATGATTTCATTTCGTCCCCTAAGATTTTTGAAGTCCACGTGCCACAAAGGAAGGATGCAAAAGACTTCGTTCCACAAACATGAGGGTTCCCAACTGACCGTCTCTTTTACACCGAATCCATAAAGTAATGCAGCTGCTCCAAGAATCGTTCTACATGCTCCGCATCCACTTCCACAACGTGCGAATCAAAGGATTCCAACCGAGCCACGGCTTCCTTCATGGTCTGCGCCACCAACTCGAAGTATTGACCAAACTTGTTCTTGGTCAGATGACCCTGTTTTTCAGACATTTGTTGACCCAGCACAAGAAAGGTTTGCGTAGCGGGTTGTTCCGCCAATAGAATGAGGGGAAGAGCCTTGCTGCGTCCACTGCTGTCGGTACCCACCCATTTGCCATTGGCACGATGCATGTCCATCAAGTAATACGCCAATCGGGTCAATGCCAATGGTTTGGCCAAGACGTGATAGGGAGCATTGTTGTTGCTATTGTTGTTGGACTGGCTGTACGCCAGCGCCGAGCTGCTGTTTCCCGACGATGATGCCGTCACATAGGCATACCGAAAGTGTCGGAGCCGTGTAATGGCATTCCGACTGACCAATCCCACGGCCGTGGCCAGGATTAATCGTTGCAGTTTCATGGCCCATTGCAACCCCGTTGTCATGATTGTCTTGCCATTCTGGTTGTGGTTGCCAGCACCCAGGGAATCGTAGGCCGCATGAAAGCACTGCAAATCCCAATCGCCCGATGGATCGACTTCGGTTGACGACGAAATGGTGGGGCATTCCAGCAAGGCACTGGCGGCATAGCAAGTGTCGGAGGCCGACGTGAGCGTGGAGAACCCCGTGACTCTGACAAAGGAGGTGAACTCGAGTTCCTCCAAGCCAAATTCCTATCATGAAGGAATGCAAGTGATAGCTAGAGTGAGTAACCAACGGAACCGTGGAATCCTTGAAGCTGCCTTGGTTTGATCACACACAACTACACAACTAATATAGCACGAACAACTCACCTCGCCGTACTCGGCCAATTGTCCCACCAATCGTCGTCGGAGACTGGGTTTCATAAAGTTGAATGGTTGATGACAATCCTCCAAGGGATATCCCATGCGTGCCAGCAATTCGTGCAAGCGCTGCATACCGGGTTTGGTCCACAACTGCATTTGTGTACTGACATAGTTGCTGCATTGCATGGCATCCAACAAGGAGGACGACCGCAACAAAAAGAAACGATGATCCGTCTGTGGCAGAATCCGACCCTGTTCGGAAAAGGTCAATTTGGTTTGTTGCTGTTGTGAACCGCCCGCGCCCACCAGCAACTCTTCTGCATAGACAGTCGTTTGAGCTCGTTCGTACAAGTCTTGATGCAGCGGAAACAGTTTGAGGCACTTTTCGCGCAACGAGTCGGCCATTTCGGCGTACCCGACAATATCGAGGCGCGATTGCAACCAGGCATCCGTGACACCGACCATGCAGAGCCACAAGAGATCGGCCACGTTGCCGAATCGGAGCTGTGTGGCAATCTTGTGGGCCACATAGCATGTGGGTGCGCCATGAGACGATCCGTGACTGTAGTAGAGTCGCAGTCGATCTTGGCGTTGACGAAAACGTTCTGCGGGAGTTAGTTGTGCTTGTGTTGGAGACGGAGCCGTGGTGGGGGCTGTGGCGGCCGTCTGTAGATTGTCATCATCGTCGTCATCATCATCGTCAGAAGCATCAGAAGCAGGGTTGGTCGAATCCGTGTCGTGGCCTAGATCGTTGTCCGTTGAAGTCTGTTTCTTCTTTTTCTTCTTCTTTTTGGTGGGAGAACCCGCCTGAGGATCCCGCTCATCTTCCCCGTCATAGTCAACATCGGGTTCCTCTGTTGATGGTGGATTCTTGTCCTCCTCTAGATCCATTTTGTCTTCATCATTCTTGATGTCTTTCTTGGCAGGTTGTGGTTGAGGGACTCCTTCTGTATCATCCTGATCTTGTCCAAATTCTTGTTCCTCCTCTTCCACTTCTAATTCCTCGTCACTCTACTATCGTCACTACTACTTTCACTCTCATGTCTCCTCTCATCATCATCATCATCTTTTCCACTGAGATTGTCTCCATCACTGGGCATGTCGTCGACAGATCCATGACTGGGATCCCAAAAGACCACAACGTGATCTTCAGCATAGACATTGGCCAAATGCACGGGACGTCGGCCATCCAACACGTAGACTTTGGTCGATCCCAACTGCAACGACTGTTGTCCAAATAATTTGGTCAAATTCCGCGTCACACCCACATTGATCAAGACAATGGCCGCATACATACTGGCGCTAGTACTAGCACTATTGATATTCGATAGCAGCGCATTCCAAGTGGCACACGGCAACAACGTGTATTCCAGTTGATCGGCCCGCAGCATGTACGTCCAAATGCGAGCCGCCGCCAAGGCATCCACATCGGCATGACACAAGATCAAACATTTCCCACCACTCTGACGACAATCCACCAAGATTTGGCTATAGCCCAAGTGCCAATTGTCCACTTCCAATATCATACTCTTGCTAGTTTAATAATTCATCCATCCATTCAAGAAGAAGAAGAAAAACTTTATAGAAAGTGGTTGGTTTCGTTTGTTGTTGCTTCTGATCTGGGCCGAAAAATAAATGTGATGGATGCCAATGCGGCACGCGAGCCGATCCGACCTTTGCGCCAAAAATGGAGTCACGAGTGAATCGAGTCTCGCTGGTATGGTGCCAGATCACCCAACTACGGTACCAGTTATGGTACTAGTACAGTCACTGTACATGTACTAACTGGCTAGTTAACTACGCGTGCCGGTGCAGAAACGTAGTACCTCGTAATCTAACCAGGTTACTATCGCGAGGGAACTATGGGGTGCACCAGGGATGGAGCAGAATGCACAAACTCAGGCTGAGCAAGGGATTGAGTGAGCAGAGCAGCAGCAAAACCAAAGAGGCAGGGTGAGGGGAAGAAGGATCAAGGGGGGAACAAGACTAGAAGAAGGGCACCACAGTCATCCCAGCGCTGGGAAAGCTTTTAGCTGGAATACATACGGGAGCCTCGTAGCTAAGCACCATGTAACTGCATTGCCCGGTCTTGACGACCAATAGTACCAAAAACAAACAAACTGAACGTCTATTTTTTAAAATAAAACGGATTTAGACAAGCAAGATGGCTGTGGTTGAGGACAACCCACGAGCGGAGGCCCGGGTATTTCCCACAGTCAATAGGCTTGTGTCGGCCATTATCTTCGCGCTATTGCTACTAGCTTGTAAAAGCCTGGTGGGTGTTGAGTGTTTTGGTTGGTGGGAATTCCCTTTCCCACAGTCAATAGGCTTGTGTCGGCCATTATCTTCGCGCTATTGCTACTAGCGGGAAATTTGGCGCTATCTAACCAGTGCTGAAAGGGGCAACCTGCAATGGAGGAATAGAACACTCTGTAAGGCTTGGAAATAGTCTTCAATGATGCCCCTTCAAGCAAGGAGTCCCCAAAACACGTAGCCTCATGGTGGCTGGTCATCAAAGACTTGCACTCTTGAACAGGGCCTAGCTCCTGTAACTAGCTAGTTGTAAAGACTCGTTGGCTGGCAGCATCAATTCGGGCTGAATTGGTTCTCCGTTCGTCGGCAACACGAACGCCATGGTCGCGAATTTCATTGCAAATTTCAAACCAACCAGCTTCGCAAACACCGGCTTGTCATAACAGTAGCTAGTAGAGACTGTTGCTCTCGCCGTCGTGGTAGCTCGTCCGAGAATCACTCCACAGCAGCTGGTTGTTATTGTGACGACGGACGGAAGCAGTAGCCGATGTTCTTCTTCTTCTCACTCTTTTTCGGTGCTTTGGCTTTCTCTGTGTTGTTGCGGCTTGTTGCCGAACGAAGGTTTCTTGTGGTGGCATGCAGGTGGTGGCAACGGACACAACACCATCAGCCCATCTCATGCCGATTCAATCTAAGAACAGGAGAAGAGCTAGCTAGCTACTAGACTACCAACGGTGCTTGTTTCGCCATTGCTATGGTACCGACCTCCGTAGTCTAAAATGCGCAAGCAAGCTACCAACCCCACAACGGTCAGTGTCGGTTACCAGCAATTTTTGGTTTCGGATGCTCAAAGTCCTCCGGTACTGGACCTGGCAATTAGTGTCCTGAATAATGTACTTGGGGTCTTACCAATGACATCTGAGCAGTCTTAAAAGAGTGGAATTACTTATCTAGTGCAAGTCGAGATGACCCGAAAACCAAAATGAAGGCATCGAATCAGAAACTTGGAAGCACAAATTTCGGCACTGTAGATGTTCAGTATACCAATCAGGAATTGACTGTTTAAAGAGCCATATTTTTTGGCTTTTGAACACCGGTTGTCCATCGGAAATTGCGCTTCCATGACTCGACGACGCGATTGCCGACAGGGTTTTGTTGCTGGTCCCAGTTCACACTTACTTCACAGCTCACACACAGCCCAGTGGGCTCACCATGCACACAGACTACACAGAACCGACTCCATGGTTATCCGACAACGACGACCAAAACCTCATCAACAGAGACCACCGTCAAAAGAATAATACCACCAAGACTTAGCACGATCGCTACCAGTAACGAAGAGAGCCCGCAAGAAAGCGCATCCTGCCATTCATTCAAGCGAGAGACACCGCCGCACAAAAGCACTCTGATTCTCGACCGCCCATAGGTTGCGTTTCGCTCTGTCCACCATTCGTAAGACACCGACAAGTCTGCTCTCGCCCCCCATCTCAATCGTCGCCGGACAGAATCGCATCACAATGACCAACACACATCATGGCCAGATAGCAGCTTTATCAACCGATCGACACGGGATCCCCGGCAGCCACAACCGGGCTGCTGCCACCACCGCTAATCCCAGCAGACGATCCATAACAACCCACTTTCTGTCGGAGTGGGAACCTACCAAAAGCCGCGAACAATCGCGGCAACGGTACCAAAAGACATCCATGCTCCTCCACAGTTCCCTGTGTATGCTTCTCTTCTCTCTCGCTCTTCTACCATCGCCGGCCCTGGCACAATCCGCAGGTCTCATTGCCGCAGACCAATACGTGTGCCCTCAAGGCACAGCCAGCCTTGAACGGACTTTGGTTCTATACACATTGGATGATGTCGATGAGACTTCTTCCCGACTAGAAGGACTAGCGGAGGCATTTCAAGAAGTCTACAACCACCAAAGCTTCCAGTCCTGCGATATTCCACATTTCCGAAACATCAAGTCTGTGCAAATGGTAGGCACAAGAGAGGGCGACTTGGGATCCATTCTCACCCTTCGAGTGACGGCAGACTGCTACAACTGTACCAGAGCTCTCCCCCTGTTTCCCGCCTATGTCAGCAACACCACGGTTACCATTGCGGGCATTGGAGAAGCAAACGACGGGCCAACTCTGGAAACGATACCACCAATAGCACCTCATGGAACAGAGGCACCAGAAGCAGCATCCAACAGTACAGCCCCTCCATCTCAATCACCAACATCAGATGTGGCAGTGGCCAAGCAACTGACCGGAGAATGGTCTCGGCGTTCTTCTACCGATTGTTTATGCCCAGCTGGGGCTAGCACTGATTTGAATCATCTTTCTCTAGAGCTGTTCCTGCCGCAGTTGAATGCTGCCACCAAAATAACTACCACAAGACTTGTGGAACTGCGGACTCTGTCCTGTTCCCCAGATATCCAAAGTTTCAACTCTCTGGCTTATGTCAACCTCAATCTGATCAGGGATACCAGGCCATCAGAAGAGGAGATTGAAGCATTGGAAGCATCCTTCATAGAAACCTACAACCGTCTCAGCTTTTTGACTTGTGATCCCTACTTCCGAACCATCACCAGTGTCAAGCTAGAGTTGGAATTCGAACAGAGTGATTTGAAGAGGCGATCTTTGTTCGATCTGGTGCTGATTCCATTTGGCAATGAATCCTTCCCTGACACAAATGCAACGATGGCTCAAGATGCAAACAATGCAACGAACAGTACATTTTTCTGGCCTCCATCTTTGTCACCATCCCAGACTCCTTCGTCACTACCATCATCGGAACCAACATTCAGCCCCACCATTCGCCCCTTTGAGACTGCCAGGGCAATCTTCAATATCGAGGGGGAGTGCCGAGATTGTCCAGTTAGTGACACTGGGAGTTACACCCTCTTTGATGACATGAGCATCCGGAGAAAGTTGCTGTCTTCCAGACAACGTAGTTCTGCCCAGCAAACCAAGAGCCATTCATTGGGATTACAGAACAGCCTTCCTGTTCGCACCCTCCAACAAGATGAGGTTTGTCTGTGTCCTCTGGAAGAGGAGGATAAAAGCAAAGATGCACCCACTCTGAGCCAAGATGACTTCATTGACACCTACAACTCAGGACTGGAAGCTCTACAGGAAGACGGCACTGTGGAGTCTACTCTCTCTGCGGAAGAGGTACAAGAAGCGCAAATTGTGCCCTGTGGGATTGTGGTCAGAGATTTCAAATCTGTTGTCTTCACTGATCTTCGAGTAAACATCACCTCTTTCACCAGGGAAGAGGCTGCCCGGTTGGAGCGCAGTTTCCAAGAGTCCTACAATCGTTTAGCTTACATGACCTGTGATGGCCACTTTCGGACTGTAGCCAAAGTGGAGCTCCGTATTGCTCCTACAGATGTTCTGGATTCAATTGTTGATGGTCCAGGAGGAAGGAGATTGGAAGATGTTCTGCTTGAGCGGGATCTTGCTGAAAGTGCAAACAACAGCACAAACAGTACAATTATCAACAATACAACAAATGCCACGTCTCCACCACAACAGGAGGAGCGTCGGAACGAAATTGTTCCCACAATGTTTGCTGTGACTGGAAATTGCCGGGGTTGTCCTGTGACCGATACTGGCACTTTCAACTTGTTTGATGATGTTTTCGGCCGTCGACGAGCATTGCAGTCATACAGCATTTCAAAGGATAGTTTGGAAGCTGCAGTGAACAGGAAACTGCAACAACAAGAAGATGGCACCTGTGTTTGTCCAGCCGGAGAGGATCCTATCATTGGTCAAGGTCCCAGCTCTATAGAGTTTGAAATGGAATTGAATGATGAGATTACTGCATTGGAGGCAGCTGGAGATGCCATGTCTATTGAGAATGCACCAGAGAAGGTTGTGGAGGGCCAGCCAGTGCTGTGTGATGGTGAGATTCGACCCTTCAAATCTTTCGTCTATGCTGATTTAGGAATTGATCCGTCACTACTGCCAGAAAAGACTAAGAAGACCTTGGAAAGAGTATTCTTGGAAACCTACAATACTTTGTCATTTGAGGCCTGTGATGAGTTTTTCCGAGTGGTTTCAGATGTTGGTTTGGTTGTGACCAGAGAACTATCAGGGCGCAGGTTGGAAGGTGCCACTAACAGCAACAGCACAATGTTGGGAAATTCTACAAATTCCACAGAATCAACTGCTCCACCTCAAAGACGAGATAGAGTACTGTTTGAAGTTACGGGAAGATGCAGGAATTGCCCAATCAGTGACACAGGAGGATTCAATTTGTTTGATGATGCTTTCCGACGAAACCTGATGGGGTACAACAGAGATGAGTTATTGTCTTCACAAGCCTTGAACACGAGAACACCATCGGCCTTTCTTTCCAGCCGCAGGCTACAACAAGCTTTGGATGTATGTTTGTGTCCCATTGGCTCATCTCCAGATGAAGAGAAGAACACTACCACATTAGACTTCCTGATGGAGTTCAACACCAACATCATCCAAGCCCAGGAAGAAGAGGCCAAGAAGGAAGCAGAACAGGCAGCACACGACGCAGCCCAAGGTGGCAATGGCCCAGGAAACAGCCAAGGAGATGGGACTTCATTACCGGGATCTGGTGGCACTACTTGGAGTGGCCCAGGAAACTACACTGGCAACAATCCAGTATCCGGGAATGGAACAACAACCCCTGTCTTTCCAACGAACACAAATCCAGTAGCAGGCAATGGGACTGCTCCAACAACAGGCACTAGCCCTGAATCAGTCCCTAGCAATGTCACAATTCCTGTTTTGACCATAACCGTGGTCATAACTGAAGAGGTCACAGAGGATCCTAGGAATGGGACTGTGGCACCTAGTGCATCTCCAAGTGCAGAAACCAATGCCCCCACAGGAGTTCTCAGAGAGGCATCTTTGGCCCCTTTCACTCTGCCTCCAAACAACACTGAAGCTCCTGTGGGTCAGTCTCAGCCACTGAGCTATGTCTCCTACGGGAATACCAGTGTTTCTATAGTGATTCCAACCCCAGGACCATCTACCGGAAGCCCGAGCACAACTCCTACAACACCCCCAACATGGAGTCCTTCACCACCTCCAACATTGCTTCCAACAGCCCAACCAACAAGTGGCCCCTCGACAACTCCAAGCATGTCAACCCCAGAACCGTCCACAAAAGGTCCGACCTCAAATCCTACTCTTATTCCATCAAGCGAACCTTCAACTTCACCTTCGGCAGCTCCCAGCAGCCAGCCATCATCAACGCCATCTGCTTTTCCCACCCCAGACCCAGCTCCTTTTCCAACATCAATGCCAACACCAGAACCTTCCATAGTGCCTACCAAAACTCCTTCATCAGGACCCAGTCAAAGCCCAACAGTATTGCCCAGCCAAGCCCAATCAGCAACACCTAGTCATGCTCCAACTTTGAAGCCCACACTAGAACCCACACTCAAACCATCAGTAGCACCTTCAGTATTCCCAAGTACATGGCCCTCAACATCTCCGAGCACAATGCCATCATCAGTGCCATCAGAAGCCCCATCAGTCTTTCCATCCCGATTTCCATCAGTTCCTCCCACTCCATCACCAACTGGACCAGCCTGCAACACAGCTTTGATGAATGCCACATCCATTGTTGCAGTTACATTCTCAGGTGGATCTTCTTCCCTAACCAATCAATATTTACGGGATGCCATGTGGAATGCAAGCCAGTCCATGCAAGACGTGCTGTCGGGCTGTGTTCCCCAAGTTCGTAGCGTGTCAATACTGGACAGGACTGCTCAGCGTCGTCATCTTCAAACTACAGGCAGGGGTGAACTTGTTCAATTTGAAATTTCTGGAAGTGTAGAAGCTGAAGATGACTTCTCCGATGACCAGTTTCTCCAGCCTCTTGTGAATGAGCTTAACAAGATCACTGTTGAGGAAGGAGTCACAGTCTCAGAAATTACAGGTCCAACACCCACCCCATCCACATCCCCTAGTACCAGCCAATCACCAAGCAAGACACCCACTGAAACCCCATCACGAAGCCCCCAGCCAAGTATTCTACCAAGCTCCAAACCAAGTGGAAGTCTATCACCCAGCGAAACACCCAGTGCTATCCCCAGTGAAACTCCCACCACAAGTATTTATCCCAGCCTTCTCCCAAGTATCCCTCCAAGCAGTAGCCAGCACCCAAGTTCAAACCCAAGTTTCAGCCCCAGCAACCAGCCTGGCAGCAAGCTAGGCCATGCTCCGAGTTTCGTGCCCAGTGATTCCCCATCTGAAAGCCCAAGACCTAGTGGAATACCCAGCTTTGGGCCAACCACACGCCAGGTACCCAGCAGTATCCCCAGCGGAATCCCAAGTGATTCACCTAGTTCCACACCAAGTTATTTTCCGACAGCCAGTCCAAAACCCAGTGGTCTCCCCACCTTTGCACCAACCACGAGCCAGCTACCAAGCAAAAGTCCCAGTGCTCCACCAAGCAGCTCCCCCAGCCAAATTCCAAGTGATTCTCCTTCAGCAAGTGCAAAACCCAGCAGTCTTCCCAGCAACAGCCCCACTACAAGCAAAATGCCAAGCACTGCTCCAAGTGTCTCTCCAAGCAGTTCCCCCAGTTCAATCCCGAGCGAATCTCCAACTGTGAGTCAAAACCCGAGTGGTCTGCCTAGCTTCAGGCCCAGCACTAGCCAAGCCCCAAGCACAGGTCCAAGTTCTAGTCCAAGCACCTCACCCAGCAAGTCGCCAAGCTCCTCTCCAAGCATGTCGCCTAGCGGGTCCCAAGTTCCAGTCCAAGCAGCAGACCAAGTCAAAGTCCCAGTACCACCCAAGTACTCCCCCAGTGAACCACCAACTGCAAGGTCCCAAAACCCAGTGGTCTCCCCACCTTTGCACCAACCACAAGCCAGCTACCAAGCAAAAGTCCCAGTGCTCCACCAAGCAGCTCCCCCAGCCAAATTCCAAGTGATTCTCCTTCAGCAAGTGCAAAACCCAGCAGTCTTCCCAGCATCGGCCCCACTACAAGCAAAATGCCAAGCACTGCTCCAAGTGTCTCTCCAAGCAGTTCCCCCAGTTCAATCCCGAGCGAATCTCCAACTGTGAGTCAAAACCCGAGTGCTCTGCCTAGCTTCAGGCCCAGCACTAGCCAGGCGCCAAGTTCCATTCCTAGCCCTCTTCCTAGTTTAGCACCAAGCCAATCTCCTAGTTTTGCCATTGACGACAGAGCTGAGCTGTTGGGAGAAATTGCAACTTGGATCAGCACAGGGTCATCACAACATCCACCCCACAATTAACAAAACCCAGCAGTCTCTCCCAGCGAACAGCCCCACTTATCCAGCAAAATGCCAAGCACTAACTCCAAGTGTCTCTCCAAGCAGTCCCCAGTTCAATCCCGAGCGAATCTACAACTGTGAGTCAAAACCAGAGTGGTCTGCCTAGCTTCAGGCCCAGCACTAGCCAAGCCCCAAGCACAGGTCCAAGTCTAGTCCAAGCACCTCACCCAGCAAGTCAGCCAAGCTCCTCCTCCAAGGCATGTCGCCCTAGCGGGTCTCCCAAGTTCCAGTCCAATGCATGCAGACTCAAAGTCAAAGCTTCCCAGTACACCCCAAGCCTACTGCCCCCAGTGAACCACCGAACTGCAAGCCCAAAACCCAGTGGTCTCCCACTTTGCCACCAACCACAAGCCAGTACCCAGCAGTCTTCCCAGTGGCACACCCAGCACTAGCCAGCTACCCAAGCAGTCCTCCTTCCGGTAGCCCAAGCATGTTTCCCAGTTCTAGTCCAAGTATTGCCATTGACAACAATGCTGAGCTGCAGACAGAAATCGATACTTGGATCAACACTGGAACTTCTCAGTATGGGCACATTTCCACTTGGGATGTTTCCAGGGTGGAAAACTTCTCCAATTTGTTTTCGGGTAAATCCTCCTTCAATGAGGATATCTCAGGATGGAGCACTGGTCAGGTTACGAGAATGAGATACATGTTTAACAATGCTGGCCAGTTTAACCGGAACATCGGTGGTTGGTAGTTGTTGATACTGCAATATGGCATTTACACCGAACGTTACCATTTTCTTATCAGTTCTCCTTCATTGATACACCAGGGATACCTCCAATGTGGAATCTTTTGAGGGCATGTTCTATGGTGCAGCTCAATTTGACCAAAATATTGGGGGTTGGAACACTGCAAGGGCATCAAATCTTGCAAGCATGTTCCAAGGAGCATCAGGGTTCAATCAAGCATTGACAAATTGGGATATTGGCCAAGTATCTACACTTGGAAGTACTTTCTATGAAGCGACTTCCTTCAATGGAGACATTAGTCTGTGGGATACTAGAAAAGTCTCAACCTTGCAAAATACCTTCTTTGGTGCTCAGGCCTTCAACTCAAACATTGGTTCCTGGGACACAGGGCTTGTTACAAGTTTGGACAGTACTTTCCACGGCGCCAGTATCTTCAATATTGACATTAATGGCTGGAATACTGGTGAAGTGCTTAGTATGAGTCAAACTTTTATGTCTGCCACTGCCTTTAACCGAGGGCTCAATGGATGGAACACAGCGAAAGTAACTGCCATAAATGGCATGTTCCAACAGGCCACTGCCTTCAATCAAGACCTGAACAACTGGGACACAGGAAATGTTGTTCTGATGTGGAACACATTTCATGCATCCTCGTCTTTTAACGGAGATATTTCTAGCTGGGAAGTCTCAAAGGTCACCACATTCTGGAATATGTTCAACTGGGCCACAGCCTTCAATTCTGACATCTCTGGTTGGGATACTTCCAGTGTTGAACACATTGGTTCAATGTTTGAGGTCGCATCAAGTTTCAACATCAACATTGGTAACTGGACCGTGTCGGGCGTTGGATCACTTGCTAACACCTTTGCAAAGGCATATGCCTTCAACCAGCCGCTGGGAGGCTGGGATGTCAGTGGAGTGACAACATTCCACAGAGCGTGAGTGATTGTGCAAGCTCCAATTCATCAAGTAAAACAATGTGCCGTCCCTAAGATTTGCTTCTTTCTTCTCACAGGTTCTTTCAAGCCAGCGTCTTCAACCAGGATCTTTGTGCTTGGAACGATCACATCAGCCCCACCGCAGACATGGGTGGTTCTACATTTTTAGGCACTAGCTGTGAATCAAAAGAAACGCCACAGCTCTATGGATCCTATTGGGGTCCATTGTGTTCGATGAGTTGTGTGCCCAGTAACGCTCCAAGCATGGTCCCAAGTGTTTCTCCCACCACAAGTGCAAAACCCAGTGGGTTACCCAGCTTCAGCCCCAGCAACAGCCAGGCACCAAGCTCTGTACCGAGTGCTGCAACAAGCACGCCACCTAGTCTATCCCCAAGCACCAATCCAAGCAGCAGACCAAGTAAAGTCCCAGTACCACCCCACAGTCTCCCCCAGTGAAACCCAACTGCAAGCCCAAAACCCAGTGGTCTCCCCACCTTTGCACAACCACAGCCAGCTACCAGCACTGTCCCAGTGCTCCACCAAGCAGCTCCCCCAGCCAAATTCCAAGTGATTCTCCTTCAGCAAGTGCAAAACCCAGCAGTCTTCCCAGCGACAGCCCCACTACAGCAAAATGCCAAGCACTGCTCCAAGTGTCTCTCCAAGCAGTTCCCCCAGTCAATCCCGAGCGAATCTCCAACTGTGAGTCAAACCCGAGTGGTCTGCCTAGCTTCAGGCCAGCACTAGCCAAGCCCCAAGCACAGGTCCAAGTTCTAGTCCAAGCATCTACCCAGCAAGTCGCCGCTCTCTCTAGCATGCGCCTAGCGGGTCCCAAGTTCCAGTCCAAGCAGAGACAAGTCAAAGTCCCAGTACCACCCCAAGTACTGCCCCAGTGAACCCCCAACTGCAAGCCCAAACCCAGTGGTCTCCCCACCTTGCACCAACCACAAGCCAGCTACCAGCAAAAGTCCCAGTGCTCCACCAAGCATCTCCCCCAGCCAAATTCCAAGTGATTCTCCTTCAGCAAGTGCAAACCCAGCAGTCTTCCCAGCATCGCCCCACTACAGCAAAATGCCAAGCACTGCTCCAAGTTCTCTCCAAGCAGTTCCCCCAGTTCAATCCCGAGCGAATCTCCAACTGTGAGTCAAAACCGAGTGGTCTGCCTAGCTTCAGGCCCAGCACTAGCCAAGCACCAAGCACAGGTCCAAGCTCTAGTCCAAGCACCTCACCAGCAAGTCGCCAAGCTCCTCTCCAGCATGTCGCCTAGCGGGTCCCCAAGTTCCAGTCCAAGCAGAAGACCAAGTCAAAGTCCCAGTACCACCCCAAGTACTGCCCCCAGTGAACAACCAAGCACTGCTCCAAGTGTCTCTCCAAGCAGTTCCCCCAGTTCAATCCCGAGCGAATCTCCAACTGTGAGTCAAAACCCGAGTGGTCTGCCTAGCTTCAGGCCCAGCACTAGCCAAGCCCCAAGCACAGGTCCAAGTTCTAGTCCAAGCACCTCACCCAGCAAGTCGCCAAGCTCCTCTCCAAGCATGTCGCCTAGCGGGTCCCCAAGTTCCAGTCCAAGCAGCAGACCAAGTCAAAGTCCCAGTACCACCCCAAGTACTGCCCCCAGTGAACCACCAACTGCAAGCCCAAAACCCAGTGGTCTCCCCACCTTTGCACCAACCACGAGCCAGCTACCAAGCAAAAGTCCCAGTGCTCCACCAAGCAGCTCCCCCAGCCAAATTCCAAGTGATTCTCCTTCAGCAAGTGCAA